ACTTTAGAGACACGCTTTATAAGAAATTAAGGCCTTAATAGAATAGTCTTAAATGAGTTCCCTAATTCGAATCCCCAACTGTCCAGTCTGGATCCAGGTGGGGTTTCTCCCTAATTCAAATCCCCGACTGTCCAACGACTTGGGACGTCACTCTGATGTGAAAGGCACTATACAAATGTAATTTTGTATTGTGTTGTAATAGCGAGGGTAAACAGGGTTGGATGATTAGACCATATTCCATACAGTTAATTATGAAAGCAAATTAAACTGCTGAAATTGCAAGGATTGGATGAGTATTATTGATTTGAGAGAGAAAAGATAATTTAATCTCCTGGTAATATACATGATTGAATGCAGACCACATTACAGCAAACAAATGATCAAAGATACTAGGAAGGAGAATAAATTACTGTGCTAAATAACTCAATTTACAAACCTTAGACTTAAGCCTTTTTTTGGAAGATGACCAATTTTTTGTATTTACAGTAATATATATCCACTCATTCGAAGCATTAAGCAAGGGTTTAAAGCCAGCACAGACATATGAATCATTGCTACAGAGATGTGCAACCATTCTCTGTACTCATCAAAATGGGTCTTTTTATAAACTGGACAAGATTCCCTGCAACCTTCACAGAGTCAATAATAATACTATCCCTCGCAATATCATAAAAACATAAGTGGAATGCTGTTTCGATCACGGGAGTGGAGCTTTGTGAAAGTCTGGGTAACTCTGATACTAGTATAATGTTTTTGTGAGTAATGACACAAGTCCACCAACATAACTACTCTTCTGAACAGGCAGCTTGGTTTAACTTCTCATCCAACAATGCAGTGCTCCCCCGGCACTATATTCACACGGCAACCTAAATGTGAGTTCAAAGTCCTGATGCGGGCCTTGAAACCACAACCTTCTGATTCAGGTTTCATCCACAGTAATGTGCTTGGCAACCAAATATCGGAATTGAGTCAACCCTCAGTGGAAGTTTCAGTTATCCGGTTCCTTAGCCAGTGCTATCAGGCCACTGCTGATGATAGACCAACCAGCCTGGTTCATCGGCAGAACTTGGAGAGGTAGACTAGTCACTGAGGACCTAGTTGGGCAAGGGAAGAGAGGGTGCATTCATTCCAGACATGGACCACCATCTCCAGCTCCCATATTGCCTTCATCCATGTCCTTTACTACTCATTACCCAGCACCTTAGGACGTCCTCCAAATGTAATTTTACATTGTACTCTTACTTTCCACGTGCTTTTGTTTTCTGAGTCCAAAATGAACTGAGAAGTAGGATGAGACTTAAACTTATTTCACATATCATCCCTACATTCAACAGAGAATTGGAGCATTTCTCCCATCACTCTTAATTCTCTTTGAACCCGGATCGCAGAGTTAACCTACTGCACCATCCAGTGCTCTAGGCCCAGTCTTTAGCTGTCTGGTGGTGTTCAATGAACTTGCACAGTTTGACTACTTCAGGGAAATCAATTTCTGCCAGAAATTATTGATCAGTTAATTCAATGCCAACGCATTGAGACAAATGGAGCTGAAATGCCTTACTTAAGGCACAGGCACCGCAGCATGCTGCAGCTCTCACAAAAAAAAATAGTTTTATTCAACTAGACATAAAATAGAGCAGCCAGATGTTAATAAGCTGCTATCACAGACGGCTGAAAAAACGGAGTCTCGGTTAACTGCTTGAGATTTACAGTGAGCAGCTGATCTGCACAGTAAGTACTGAGTTTGCTGATTTCAGGCAGTGTAGCATGTGGGGCACTGCTGTTAGTCTCAGCTAACGGGAGTGAGAGAACATAAAAGTCAGCCAGAGTTCTTGCTCCTAAGGCCCAAAGTTTTAGGCCTAAGATTATTGTCTTAAACTTTAAGATTGTGCAAATTTAGAAAATGTCTTAACAACAGTCTTGATTTGGAAACTGGTTAAGACAGATTAAGACCGATTTTAGGAATTCTATGTTTTAAGGCAACAATCTTGAGGCTAAAGACCATGAAAAATTTCAGGCACCTGAGAGCTTCTTCAGAGGCCCTGCTGGAAAGCGGGCATGTGTTGATGTTGGATAGAAACAACATCAACAACACATTACATTTGTATAGCGCCTTTCACGTCAGGAGGATGTCCCAAGGACAGGATCGAATTGGCTGTAAAATCTTCCCTCAGTCGAATAACCTGTTGAGACTCGCTGTCCCAGGTTCCCAGGTTCACATAAGAAATAGACACTTAGGCTCGGTACTAAATTAAACATCAGGGAAGAAAACAGAAGAAGAAAATTCATAATAGAATCAAAATTCCAGTCTTTGCTTGTAAGACTGTTTTAAAAACTGACCACCTGTTTCAAAAATTATGATCACAGAGTACTGGAAAAATTATAAAATCAGTCTTTATTTGAAAACCGCTTTTCTGAGGTTCTTAAAAACAACCATATTCCAAATTGAAGCTGAATTTAAGACTTTTCCATAATTGTGCATAATGTTAACTTTTAAGGCCAGATGTAAGAGTAGGTGAAACTCCAGCTTTCCATAGCCTTCACTACACTGACTTTACTACACCACAGTGGCCAGCGCTGTAGTAAAAGTCAGATATATCTAATCTCATTCTCCTAAAGCAAAGCAGAAGCAAAAAAAGTTGATCGGCTCAAAGTACATTAGTGACTAAAGCCTGATTAGTCACAGATGGCTAGCCCAGTGAAATTTAGTTTCATTAAAATTTCTTTTTGAGGTCTTATGATAAAGTGATGGCCAACGGCAGCAATTTGATTTAATTCCCTCGTGTTACTGTGAATTAACAAGCTCTGACTATGTCTTGTGTTCAATACGTTACACATCATTATACCTACCACAGCAGTGGCAGCCATTATTGCAAGTGAGGGAGGCTAAGACTCCTCTACTCAGTTTCGCTTGGCTATAGAATCCCAACCCGCTCCATTATAATAATTAATGGAATTAGATATGCAGTTGTGTGTATGCGTGAAATTTCTAGGTTACGTGGGATGTAATTTACTTGCACTGTGTGTCCAAATTGCATCAATTGGAAAAAAATCTTTACACAGAGCATGGGGGAGTCCTGTAGCTCTGTGGTTAGAGCACTCGCCTTGCAAGCGAGACACCTGGGTTCAATCCCAGGCAGAGGCCGAAACCTTGGGCAAGTTTCCTTACTCCACACAGAGCCTAATAATAATCCCTCCAAAACAAAACAATAATAAATTGGTCATTTTCAATCCACGACTGTTTGTGGGACATTGCTGTGCACAATTGACTGCCACGTTTCGCCCACAAGTATACAGTCAGTTCACTTTACAGTATATTCTGTGAAGCGCTTTGAGACGTCAAGAAGACGTGAAAAGCACTATATCAATTGCAAGGATTATTATTATATTATTATATTACAATGCAATACAATAAGAGTGCCTTGGGATGTCCTCCCAATGTGAAAGGCCCTATACAAATGCAATTTTGTGTTTTGTATTGTATCGTTAATAACCTTGCACATAGGCATGCTTGTTGACCAGTTAGCACCACGCTACTTGTTAAGGAGAATGGCAAATCAGGCCATTTAGCTGAGGAGGGGAAGGGAGAAAATTGAAGGAGAGAAATAGGTGAAAAAGACTCCAAGGACATTGCATTCCTAAGATGTCCACTTGTGGCTGTTACCAGTCAGCTGCAGTGACAGACGAGGTTTCAGCATTAGCTGTACCCTGTGGCATCTGTGAAATGAGCTTAGGCTCCAGCTGCCAGGAGCTGCCACCTGAAACATGCTAAGCTCCCTGGGTGATGGGATAATCACACAAATGAATTAAATAGAAAATTGGAAACAAATCTTTACACAGAGCATGGTTACAATGCAATAAAATAAGAGGGAAACAAAATGGCAAGTGAGCAGGAGAGAGTGACTAGATTAGATGGCTCATATGGAGAAAAATACCAGGGCAGAATCGATGGACTAAATGGTCTGTTTTGTGATGTAACCCATTTTATGACTTTAAGCCACTGTTGTTATTTGGTTTCAGACAGCCTTTGCCCACAGCCATTAATAAATGGAGTCCTGCAGCGTATTTGATAGAACAGTGCCTCACAAGCAGTGAGTACCCGGGTTCGATTCCTGGGCAGCGAGAAACCTTAGACAAGTTTCCTTTCTCCACACACTTTTGTTTTCCTAGCAATAAGTAGGAACCCGGTTGTAGTCGATTGGCAATTGTTTTCCATGGGTAATAATCCCCTGCCAAAAAAATGACTGTTGCTGTGTGCAATTGGCTGCTGCATTTCGCACACCAAATAAACAGTCAATTCACTTTACAACGTATTCTGTGAAGCACTTTGAGACTTCTCAATAACATGAACACTATATCAAATGCAAGAATTATTATTATTCATGTGTAAGACTTGATAGCCCGTGTTGGCAGGTATTTCTCCTGTGGATATATATCATTGCCAAGCCCTACATTGTTTTCCCCTGATATCTATGTACAGGGTCACTGGGTAGTGATTCAGGAGCATCCTCAATGGGGTGCTGAGACTGCTAATGCCAACTCGGCTGAGATCAGGTAATTGATCTACATAGCTCAGCTCTGCACTGCAGAAGCTTGCTGAGCTACAGGAAGGAGCTAGCTTATTTATTATTCTGACGTGAAAGGCTATACAAATGTAATGAGTTGTTATAAATATTTTGCTATGTGGGGCACAGGCAGAAAAACCTCATTAAATCCTGCGTTGGTTGAAAATGTACACCCAAATGCTTTACATCGGGATCCAAAATGTGGCAATTTCAAACATAATTATTTTATTATTATCAATTAAGGAATCTCAGTGTGGATTTCTTACCTGTAAACTGGAAATACATCACAACGATTGGTGGGAAATCTGCTGCAAAAGTAGATCACATCAGAGCGATTCCAGGATACCTGTTTAGACACCTGTCTGTCCTACATTTTCCACACCTGTATGTCCAGTTTTATTGTGAATTGATTTTATTTCTCTTGTGTTTGATTTCCAGCAATATACAATTTTGAGAGAAAACGCACTCCGCAGCTCTCCCTATGCATCGGGGACACAGTACAAATCCTGGAAAAGTGTGAAGGTAAATTGCTGGCAGAAGTGACCGAAAGAAAGAAATAAAGATTGAGAAATATATCAGAAAACATAATAACATTCTCTGGCCTCAGAGAAAATTGCATTTGTATATACGAAATAAAATAAATTGTGTTTTTATTGCATCTTATCACATCAAAAGTCTGAAAGCACTTCATATGATTATTGTCAAGTGAGTGTTTTTGAAGACAAACCCTGCAGCTTTTTTTGTGCCTAGCTTAGCTTTCTGAACAGCTTCAAAGTGATTGAGAGCAATTGATCTTGAGGATATTTGGTTAGGACGCTGGAAAAATTATTTTCTCTTTTTCCAATAGTGTGATGGGAACATTAAAATCCACGTGAACAGGCAGACCAAGATCTTGGATCCTTTTATCCTGTATATAATTCAGAATTCTTGATGGTGTAATCAGCTATTTCTATGTCATTATTCCCCGTGTAACCCGAAGGTTTCAATTGCTCGGTCTTTGAAATCCTAGTTTTTTTATTATTCAAATAAAATTTATTTCACTCAATATTTTTCAGAAAATCTAGGCAACTTTATTTTAGTGCATGTTTGTGACCAACTCTTAAGAAATCTTATTATATTCAAACATTTCTATGTTAACCTAGTTGATATTCAATTTCACTAATCTGTTTTACTGACAAATCATGAAACGTTATTTCCGTGGATGGTGGTGGAAAAAAGCATGAAATATCACTTTACTTCATATTGGTAATAAAAAAAATAAACATTTTATTTCACTCAATATTATTACAGAAAATCCATGCGATGTATTATTTTGATGGGAAAATCGTATCATTATATCATTATAACAATTAAGATTTAATTTCACTGAATATTTTTCATTTGAATATTTTTGACTATTTGAATCCTCTCCAAATTGTACATCTTTCCCTGGTCTTATACCTGTATTTGAATCTCTCATAAGATGCGAATACAGAAATGGGGCAAGGCCTTCAACCCTCAGACCTGCTCCTTCCACAATATAATTTACTTTCTTTCCTTCTGCACTCCACTCATTCAATCTTGAGGGAATGTGTTGCACAGATATTCCTTGAACTCTAAAGGTAATCCAGCAAAACGTCATATTCATCTTTGTTGTCCACTTTTGAAACCTAACCTATTTCCTTCCACAAACATTGATTACCTTCCCTCCAAAGTCCCAGGAAATCAGATACCATTGTCTCTGCGGGGCATTTGATTCATTCTGTTCTGAGTCCCTAACCTCAAACTGTTTGTTGAACAAGACCATGAATTTTCCAACACATGCTTATACGGTTGTAAGTGTTTTAAACAGCAATATGTGTAGCCTGCTATGAGTACTTTTGGCTGGATTAGGTCACAAGAGAGGTTCTGATCAAGAAGGCCTTTTGGCCCATTTGGGCTCACCCCTCCAGGATTCCACCTTCCCTCATCAGCATCAAACTGTTTCTTAAATAATCCAGTTTCCCATCCTGTACCAACTTCCTAACAAACAGCCATTCCAGCTGTTAATTACCCTCTGTACAAACTAATACTCCCTGGTGTCTGTTTTAAACTTGCCTTTCACAACCCTAAACTTGTACTCTCTTGATCTGCTACTTTGGGACAACTGAAAGTATTGTTCTGGGTTAATTTTTTTAAAATCTTATTTAGAATCTTACATACCTCAGGATCTCAGAGTCTCCTATTCTCTTTGTAAGCTCTCTGAGTTGCCGTCCGGCGTGGAGGGCGCTATATAAATCCAAGCTGTTGTGTTGTAAGGCTGAAGAGCCCTGGATTATCTTATTGTTTCTTATAGATCATTCCTGTACCAATGGGATCATCCTCGTTGATGTTCTCTGACATTAGAGCCTCGCCTTATATTGTGCCACCTAGAACTGTATGCAGTATTCTAAGTACAACCTGATTGGAGTTCTGGACAGCTTGTAACATGATTTCTGGGGGTTTGAACTGAATTGATTTGATAATATATGCCAGCATCCTGTTAGCCTTTCTGACTCTTGTGTTTCCCTTTTATTTAGGGTGGTACAGAGGATGCTTGATGAAAAACAAGTTGCAAGTGGTAAGGATTGTTACATGCAGTACATCACGTTTTACTCCTACTTCAAGCGTATCATGTGTTTTAGTGTTTTAATTATACCCAAGAGGTTATACAGTAATACTATTGAGAAGGGCTAAAGTGACAGGTAATTCCACTTGTCAGGGCACATTGTAATAAAAAGCAATTTATTTTTGCCCTGTAATAAAACAAATACTCGAATTGAATTCCGAATTTCCATCACCTGACACCATTACACTGAAACGCAGACTGCATTTCATATCCCTTTATTTGCATCACATGTCGACACAGAAAAAAAGAGAGATGTCCAGATTCTCCTGAGCTGATTGCTGCTCTGACATTCGCCTAAGATTTACTGTGCAATGTTAGCTTTTTTGTTACTATAAAACGTGTTGAAGATTGCAGTTTGAAGGACTGCTGATATAATTTGAACTCTGTTGGTGCGCTCACTTCATTATCTAAGACGCTTTGACATTGAGTAGCCCTCTGTTTCGAGCAGAGGAACAGACAGCAGAAACCTCAAGACTGAGGTGGATAGATATTTATTAGGTTAGGGGATCAAGGGATACAGGGTAAGGGCGGGTAATTGGGCTTGAGGTACAGATCACCATGATCTTACAGAGTGGCGGAATAGCCTTGAGGGGCTGAATGATTTACTTCTGTTTCTTGTTTCTATGTTTCTAAACCAACCTGCCCACGACACAAATGTCCATCCATTCACTTAAAGAGGATCTACCTCAATGAGAATGCGATTTAAGCTCATACCTGTATCATGTTACATGTAAAAATCAGCTTATGATATAAATGACACTTATCTCCTTTGTGTCAAAACTTAATTCTTTTGGGAGTTGACACAAAGGAGTTTACCAAACTCTTTTTCTTAAACACACCAACCCATTTAAGCAGTAGCATTGACCGAAGCCCAATGGTATTCCCTGATTAAGCCGCATTCAGGTTGTTTAAGAATATAAGGTAAAACTTTGCAATGTTGTTGCAGGTTAATATACATCAATATATTGATTAACCGTGGTAGTTAATTTAGTGACCTTATGATATTTCACACATCAGAGACCCCTCTTCCACATTCTTCCTTCTCACCCTCCCCTGTACAGTCAGTGCATTGAAGTTCCAGATTGGGTTTACAGGACAGTAGATTTTCTATGATGTGATAATAATCTGGGGCAATAATTAAATAATGCAGTTGGATTGACATTTTCACCCCATAATTTTTAGGAAAAGGTAAAGGTTCCACACCCCAACAATATCACACTGTGATGACTAATCTCAGCCCCACTGACCTGATGTCTCACTACAGCCCTCACCCTATAGCGAGGCCTCCCATGCTGTGTTGCTTCTGCTGAGCTTTTGCTTCTTACCCAGTTGTTGATGTTGCTGCATTAGGTAACAGCAGCGAGTGACATTGAACAGTCAAAAATCATTAAGTAGTCTAACAGAACAGCCAATGCATTTTGACATGTGTACCAGCAAGACGGTGAATATGATGACATTTTATAACATTTTTCTTCAGCTTGGTGAATCCTCGATTGTTAAACTGTTGTCATGAACACTGCATCTTCCTATCTTTCTGCTGATATCTAATATTAACTACTTGCTTGTCACAAGTCTTGGATGATAATGATGATATAGTTTGCAGGATTAACAAAATCAGCAGGATTAACATCTTCCTTGGTTAGCCTGAGAGGTCAGATTGGAGTCAAAGATTTTTAAAAGATGCCAAAGTGCGTAAAAATGCCACTGAATGAACTTGATGATTGTAGGATATTCCTAACTGGATAAATACCAGTTACACAATAGTAAGCACAATAGATCCAAACTCCAAATAAGAAGTCAATAAAGGTTACAAAGGGCTTGAGGGAATATTATTGGCACTAAATGAATTCAAAATGTAATAATCTTATGGGGTAGACTGATGATACAATATCATTATAATGACTAAACAATTTGTACTTTGGTTTACAGGGGGTGTTTCCAGCATCATTCGTTCACGTCAAAGAAGCGATCATTGAGAAAAGAGGGTACGGATTAAAAGTGAATTCGAGCTGCTTATGTGATTCTATTAAATAAAGCCTTCCGTCCTGTTCTCTCTTTAGTTCTGTTTGTTGAGGATGCTACAGGTCCCTGCCAACGGCTTGTTGTGTAATATAATTAAACGTGAATAAAGAAACACAGAGACAAAATTTATAGTGTTTGATAATTTTACACAGGTGTTCATTATCACTCCAATAGGCAATATTTGGTGTGAACCTCATATGGTTCACATCATATTCAGTATGGTTGAAACGAAACAATAGATTCCCTACTAATGGGACATAAGAAGGACCTGACCCCTGACCACCCCCTGCCGACCCCTGAGCCCCACCCCTGCCAACCCCCTGATCCTCTCTCTCCTTGCCCCCCTGACACCGCACGATGTTGTGAGTCTGTCTGCCATGCTGTGAGCCCCGCCCTTCAATAAAAAATAATAACAATAAATTGGTTACTTCAATCCACGACTGTTTGTGGGACACTGCTATGCGCAATTGGCTGCTGGGATTCACCCGCAAAATATACAGTCAATTCACTTTACAGTGTATCCTGTGAAGCGTTTTGAGACGTCTCGAAGAAGTGATAAGGTGCTATATCAAAAATGTAAGGATTATTATTATAATATTGCTGGAGTCAGATTGAACCTGATGTAATATACTGAATAGCCACAAAAGCTAGCCAAATTACATGTGCTTCGAAACCCTGAGGCCAATGGTTTGGGACCTCAGCAGTTTGTAGAAAGCAGCAGTGTGTTGGATTGCATCCTTAATGAACTATTGCTCTCAATCTACCAGTCATGGTAGATTTCTGACTGTCAATTCAGAAGTAGTTGGGGAATTTATTTAGGAGAATTGAAACTTGATGGAAGAAAGCGCTAAGTGATAGTAAGTGAGAAGTAGCAATAGTAAATGACAAGAGACGGAATCCACTGCCCTTTTTGCTGCATTGCCAGTAAAATGTTCAGACAAACTTCCTCCTTCCTTTCCATCAGCAGCTTTTGGTCACATTTATTGATTACGCCAACTCTGCTCCAAGGAAATCTGATTGCTCCTCCTATACACTAATGGGCTCTAATTTCTGATATTTGTCAACGAGATTCCCTTATTAAAAAATTGACTCTCACAAATGGAGACCTTTTCCTGTAAGTAGAAATATGTCATGCTGACTTTTGGGAACTCCACTCTGACATGATTTACTTTCTTTCGCATTGGAGTTCCCTTGGGTTGAAGGAAAGTCCAACAGGCTTCCTAATCCTATTGCAAAATACCACAAACTTACAATTGACAGATTCAATACTCCATTATTGAAAGATAATGCAAAAGAGTCAGTTATCTTTTCCAAGTGTATGCTTTTGTCTCTGAGAAAGTGAAGCATCTTTTTATTTTTGTCACCAGTCAACACTGTAAACGTTGAGTGCTTCAAAGCAACTCCAGAATTCCACCTGGTGTCAGTCAATAAAAGCGCTGTATTCAACTTTAAGATCCTGGAAGATTTGGGAAAATTATTCAATTTAGTCCTAATTTGGATATTCTTAAAGTTCTTGAAAAGATCCAGCTTTCAAATTAAGTCTGAATTTAAGAATTTTCCACATTCTGCATGACCTTCAATTTTAAGACAGTTGCTGAAGATTTGGGTTTTCATATGGTACCAGCCTGGCTCAGTTGGTAGCACTCCGTCTCTGAGTCTGAAGGTGGTGGGGGTTAAGCCTTATGTTGGGACTCTGAACTCATAGTCTAGGCCGATGCTACAACGCAGTGCAGGGGAGTGCTGCATTGACGGAGATGCCTTTCTTTAGCTGAGATGTTAAACAGGTCTGCCTGCCTATTCAGCTGGACATCAGTGATATTATATCACTACTCAGAAAGAGAAGGGAGTGTCTCCTGGTATCCTAACCAACAATTGCCCAGAAAAATGGTAATTCACATGGTTGTTAGTGGGACATTAATGTGCACAAATTGCTGCCGTGTTCCCTTACAAATATAGTCCCTACTTTGCAGTAAATCATTTGAAGCACTTTGAGATGTTTCAATGAGTTGACAAGGCATTATATCAAATGCAAGGATTATTATTACAAGATCGGATAAGAATAAAATAGAATAACATCATTGTGGAAGAATTCCTTTCACTGTTGTAGTGAGGCATGCGAAGAGAGAGCAGATTTTTAGCCTGATGGTCTGGGGTGGATTTACATCCAAGTCCCAGAGGTGAAAGTTCAGCATTTCTAAGCAACAAAGTAATTGTGTAAAGAGATTTGAGTTGTTGTAACATAAGGCGTTATATCAATAATAATAATACCAATATCAAATGCAAGTATTAACTTCTTTTCTGTAGGGTTCAGAACCACACCTTCGAAAAGATTAGAATTATCTATGGAGCTGGATTTGTGCCGGTTGATTAAACTGGATCATTTCGAGAGTGGTTTGGGAAATGAGAGTTGACAATAACAGATGGCATAACCCACAGAGTGTAAGGCTCTCGCTCTGCATCTTTCTTTGTGCACTCACCCAAATGATCTGATGTCTTTCAGGAACCAGGAGAATGTTGTTTCGGCAGAAATGCCCTTGGTGAAGGAGGTGACAAGCACGCTGCGTGAATGGGGCATTATCTGGAAGCAGTTGTACCTGGTAAGAGAACTGGATTTTGTCACAAAGCTGACAACACATGATTTAACTTTGAAATATCTAATTTCCGCCTGTATTATACATTGACATATTGGGATACAATTCACTGTATTTCTTAATGGACTTCCTTTCTAAAAAATCTTCCAAAAATTTCTCATGGACCAGTGAAACCTCTCCTGGAAGCGGATTGCGTCAGTGAAAATTTCCTGTGGTTTGGCGTCACATCCTATAGTTACCAGGTGTCTCCTTTTGCACTATTTGGATTCCAGGTTAAGGAATCCTGTTAAGAAATGGCACAAATGAGACCCCTTTGGGGAGTAACCCGAAAAATTCCTGAATATTGTAGTTACTCGGATGTGTCTCAGGCTGATTGCTCCAGAACTCGGTTCAGACACTAATCTCAGTTTAGTGTGGTGAAACCAGATTGTGTCCAAAGGAGGCTTTCAGTGGCCAGCAGGGGATCAGTGTCTGAATGGCCTTCCACAAAGTCAGCTCAAGACATAGCTGAGTGGAGAGCAAAAATAGTTTACTCTGCCCTTAACTTAAAAATATTCAATGGTGACACTCGTGACCTGATTGCGAAAATTGTTGTATTTCCCACCTTTATTATTCGTCGCCATCATGAGCACATTTTCATATTAATTTATTGATAAACACAAAAAAATCTTTCTGAAGAAACATTAATGATGTAGCATCAAAACATGTGCAAATCTTATTGGCAATCTGTGCCGTACAAATATTAAAGAAGCGAAGATTCCACATTCTGGAGTTTTCAGTCTGGTTGAATTCCTTGAACACTTTATCCCCTATAAAACCATACCCGTGTCTTCCAGGGAATAATTGATACAGCAGATGACATATCAGTGGATAAATACGTTGACTATTGAATTTCTGACCTATACAGATCAGGACAAGCGCAGGCCTGTGTTCATGTAGCTGATTTCAGCCAGGGTTGCAGTGGGGGAATTACATGTAGCTTCAGCATCTTTGGATAATGAAAGAACAGTGGGCGATTTAACACAGCACAGGCGTGATGGAGAAAGAGTAGAAAAGTTGGATTAGAGTAAGTATCTCCAGTAAGAGCAGCTAGGAATAGCACAGATATAATGGGCAACATGGTTTTCGTCTGTGCTGAAAACATGGTACAATTCTGGAGGCCAAAGAACAAGTTAATGAATTGGAACTCACATACCCCAGAATAATGGGCTATTTGTTTATTTCCCACTTACTATAAAGAGATCAGGAATGTCATTGTACTAATATGGATTTCAAGGAGTCTATTGTCCCACTGGTATAACCGATTCCATTACATGCACATCTTTTTACAAACCCTTTCACTCCCTAGAGATTAGAAGATACCAGTCAGTACACTGGTATTGTAATACATGATCCTGTTTTGCAGTCTACCTTCATTCAATCGTTTCATTACTTCATCATTCCTCAGACTAATAAAACCGACAAGTTCAAGGCAGTCCACAGCATGCTGTTTGATTTGATGGAATGGCGATCACAGCTCCTTTCTGGAACACTCCCCAAAGATGAATTGAAAGAGCTCAAACACAAAGTTACTTCCAAAATAGACTACGGGAACAGGCAAGTAAAGTAAAAGCTCACTGTCAGAGAAGTGAGGCGCTGGCTGTTCTCTGGTTGAAGTGCTACCCAGATGCAAGTTGTTGTTGGTGCTGCTCACCTAAGACTTAGGTCCTAAGTAACGCATTGTTCCAATGGGTTCAATGGAAGAAACGTTTAACTCTTAAGGTTGTTTCCAGATCCAGCAAAATTGTAGCCTCCTTGTGGCAGTTTTCAGCTCATGCACAGCAATACTAAAAATAACCTTAAATTGCAGCAAAAGAGATACTTAACCACCGTGAAAAGCTTTATTACAGCAGTATGAAGAACTACAGAACTACAAATTTTGAACATAACCAACATTGTACAATAATGGATGAAGTTTGTAGAGTTTCAGAACTATTCAAAACTATTGCTATGTCAGCCTGGCTCAGTGGTAGCACTCTCGCCTCTCAGTCGATGGTTGTGGGTTCAAGCCCCCCCTTTGGGACTTGAAAACACATAGTCTAAACTGATACTCCATTGCAATCTTGGGGGCTGTTGAGGTACTATCCTTCAGATGAGATGTTAAACTGAGGTCCTGTTCAGGTAGATGTCAAAAGATCCCACGGCGAAAGGAGAAGGAAATTTCTTCCAGTGACCCTGGCCAACAATGCCCCGAATAAAATTGATCATTCGTTTCATGGCCGTTTGTGAGACATTGCTGTGTGCAATTGAGCTGCCGTATTCGCCTACAACTATATAGACACTCCACTTCACATTAAATCTTGTGAAGCCCTTTCGGATATCCTCCCGACATGAAAGGTGCAAGGATTATTATTATTATTACATAATATAATTATAATTCTTATTACATATTATAATTATTACGTTACTATTATGTTTTTACAGTTTTAATCACTCCGTGGAGGTAGCTTCTAAAGGTTTTTCGGTGATGGGTCAGCCAAACCAATAACACTGCCACATTACATATGAATGGATGTTACTCTTCGTAGTATTTGAACTTCCTAAAATAGCTACTTTTTGCTATTGATGGGAGGTTGATATTTTGTTCACCAGGTATTTTGTCAAGGCATACCTGAATAATCTTATTAACAGTCCCAGTTGCACCAGTGATTATAGGAAGAGGGCAGACACCAGACTTCCAAAATGTTTATCTTAAAATTTAAGAACATTTAAGAATTTTATAAACTTTCTGGCATCAGGTGTGAAACGAGATCTAAAATAATCAAATAATAATATTAGAATATAATAATATAGATAAAAATAATCCAAAGAAAAACTGGAAGATAGAAAATAAACTTTTCAGGGCTAATTAAATTTTACTTTTACTTTTTCTGCAGAATCCTAGAGTTGGACTTGGTTGTGAGGGATGAGAATGGAAATATTCTGGACCCAGACAAGACCAGTGTAATCAGTTTGTTTCATGCCCATGAAGAGGCCACCAGACAAATCTCTGAGCGAATAAAGGAAGAAATGGTATTTAATCATTTTATTACTTTGCCTACAAAACAGAATTTGCTAGTGACTAGGTACTACGGAGGAGAAGTTGTGACTAGGTGCTACAGAGGAAAATACACTACGTTTCGTGCATTTTGACAATGCATTCATAATAAAAATCCCATTCTTAAGACAGAGTTAAAGTTCGGTAAACTCACTGCCGTGCAAGCAGTGAGGTCTGCCCTGGAGCATGTTTGTGAATGGAATTACACACTGTGTTCCTGATGTGACACGGGAGTGCTCAGAGGCAAGAGTTTTCTTTGTATGAAGCAAGAAAATTCCCCACAGAAAGCAGATAAAGGGAAGCCATTGGTGCCCACATGAATGCTCTCAAAAAGAGGCTTTCTCTCCGCGTAACTGTGTACATGTCTGATACAATGCTGGGTGTTCTGTCAGTCAATCACGCATCAAATGGATGCTTCAATTGCAGAGTCAATGGTGCACTTTTGTGATCAGACTGCATACCTTTTGACACTATGGGTGATATTTGGAACACTTCATAACTGCGTTCAATATAACCTAATTGTGAAACGCCGCACATCTCATCTCACAGTTAGCCTCAAGGTAACCTGGCAGTTTCTAGAATACATTCAAGGAAGTCCAGTAGAGTAGCCCACATGGATAACAGAGGATCAGGGCAAGGATTTTACTTGATTGGGCTCATAGCTATCAGCACAGAAAGAGGACGTTTAACCCACATTACTGCAGCAACAACAAGATTACATTTGTGTAGTGCCTTTCACGTCGGGAGGATGTCCCAAGACGCTGGACAGTGCACAGGATTTCAGAGCTGGGGTCAGGGTGGGAGAAGGGAGGGGAGGGGAGGGGAAGGGGGGTGGCCGATGGCATGGTCGAAGAGGAGGGTCTTGAGGCGGGACTTGAAGGAGGCTAAGGAGGGGGTGAGGCGGAGTGATTGGGAGATGGAATTCCAGAGGTTGGGGGCAGAGTGGCTGAAGGCTCTCTCACCAATTTTGGGGCGAGTGAGTCGGGGGACGTGGAGCAGGGCAGAGCCGGCTGAGCGGAGGGAGCGGGCGAGTTGGTAGGGGGTTAGGAGGTCGCAGAGGTAGGGTGGGCTGAGGCCACGGAGGGCTTTGTAAGTGAAGACCAGGATCTTGAACTGGATCCTCTGAAGGATAGGGAGCTGATAGGGTGAGAATGGGGGAGATGGGGTCACGGAGTTTGGTGCGGGAGAGGACACGGGCTGCAGAGTTCTGGATTATCTGCAGCCTGTGGAGGGACGAGTTGGGAAGGCCGACAAGCAGGGGGTTTGCATAGTTGACCCTGGAGGTGATGAAGGCATGAACACGGGTTTCAGTGGCCTGAGGGGTGAGGTAGTGGGGGAGTCGGGTGATGTTACGGAGGTGAGGGAAGGCAGAGCGGGTCATGTCCTGAATGTGGGGGAGAAAAGACAGTTGAGGGTCGAACAAGACACCGAGGTTCCTGACTGGCTGGTGAGTTGAAGTGCGCAACCATGGAGGGTGATGTTGCCAGAGCCTGAGGTGCTGAGGCGCTGGCGCGAGCCAATCAGGAGGGCCTCAGTCTTATTCACATTCAACTGTAGGAAATTTGCCCTCATCCAGGACTTGATGTCCGACAGGCAGTCTGTCAGGACAGCAGTAGTCCTCAAACCATTTATTTCACTTCACTTTACAGTATATTCTGTGAAGTGCTATGAGATGTCTAGAAGACATGAAAAGCGCTACATCAGATGCAAGGATTATTATTATTTATTATTCTCCGAGCTGTTTGATATATTTACTTTTTATTTATTTTACCTAATTATTTTAAATGTGATAATTTGTGTTTCACAACTTTTGTGTGGAAGACTTTTTCGAATATCCCCCCTGAGCTTATCTTAAGTTTATGCTCCTTGTTGCAAATTCACCCAACCGTGGGTGTCAGTTTGTCTCAGTTGGCAGCTAACTTGCCTGCCTCTAAGACACAAGGCTGTAGATTCAAAACAGTAGTTCAGCTGACAGCCTGAAGCTGACACTTTAATAAACTGTTACTACATAGATTTACAAGTGACATTAATTACCTATTGAGTGCTTTGAGATATTCTGACATTGTAGCATTACATCTAATACAAGAATAATTGTTCTAATATATTTGTACCCAGTCATCAAGCACTTCTACTCCAATTTTGCACATTTCTATTAGCTGTTAACCACCTTCACAATAAATCAAGGGAGAGTATCACAGCTGATCTTGAACTTGTCCTTATCTGACCTCACCAAAATTTGTATATACCCCAAATCCTTCATGGGTATTCCTAACTAGGCAAAGAGCAGGAAGCATGCCAGACAGTTTGTGCAATGGCAATTCCCAATTTTAGTTGGATAAACTCCAGTAGTTATACCAATGCACACTCTGGAGTCCCCAAGCCTTGGCTGTTGCCAACCTTTACCTATTACTTTCCAGAATTAAATGAGCTGGGTGCATCCCTCAGGGGAGAGAGGGCGCATTCCACTCCAAACACAAGAAGGATTCTATGTATATGTGGAATTCAGGCTAGTTTAGACATGCTTCAGCGTGGTAAGACTCTATATCAAATGCAAGGATTATTGTTATTAATAATTGTTTTCTGTGTGTGCTGTATAGACTCCTGGCTGATCAAAAGGAGTATACACAATATATTCAATGTCCACCTTCTGCCAACACTCATCATCAAGATTCACATTGCAGGAGAAACACATGGAAAGGGAAGATTATGCCAAATGCCTTTAGGACTGCACGGCATAAAAGCCAATTATGCAAAGAAAAAGAGAAAAAAAAATCATTTCTTGAACCATATGTTTGGAAGATATGGAAAGTTATGTAACAAACAGTGATTCACAGTTTATAGACGCAATGTATTGACTTTTGCTCTTTGCCTCAGGGTACCTGGCAATCATACAGTCACAGCCTAGGAGTGACAGGTGACATAAATGAACTAACTCAAAGCTAAATATCTTACCAGACATTATAAGGAATAACTTTTATTCCTCAGAGGCCAGTTTCTTTATCTCTTGACTGTACAGAAGAGAAGATGTAATTATAGGGTGTTAATAGGGCACTATAGATATAGAATGAGATATTGCTGTGGGGCATGTGTGTCATTCTGAAGGTAAGAGCAGAGAAATGAACACTGCTGTAAAATGTGAAAATACTATTTTATTACATTCTTGTACAGGCATATCATCTTTGAAGATCAATGTGCTTGCACCTAAATAGCTCTATATTCTTCAACATCAATAAGAATTTTAGAAATTACCAGGTGCCATAATCCTTTGCTCTTTATTCCCATTGTGTAGATGCCTTCATTTTAAATCTGTTCCTAATTCTGCATGGATTTTGTAGGGAGGGGCATTGGAAGATAATTTCTAAAAGCAATATTTAATAAACATATCCTTACAACTAATATCAATCTTTATCACTTTGAAAATCACAATGTCCTCAACTCAATTTGTTTTCTATGAAATATAGCAACTTGTTATTGTCAGAAAAAGCAGCAACTAGTCTACCTGTATAATATTTATTTCAATTGATATAGAGCTTTATCACATCATTGAGACATCTCAAAGTGCTTCACAGAATATATTGTTCAGTGGATTGACTGTGTATTTTGTGAGCAAAACGCACACCTTCCTCTTCGACCGTGCCTTTGACCACCCTCCCACCCTCACCTCCCCCTGTTCTCTTCCCCTTCTGAACCCAACTCCCAGCTTTGGTCCAAAACCCCTGATTGTCCAGGCCCTGGGACATCTTTTTGACGTGAGGCGCGCTATACAAGTGTAATTTGTTGTTGTTGAGAGATCACCATCCTGTACCTGATCTGTGAAGGCTGATGGGACTGTGCAGAGGTGACCCTTTACTCTGTATCTAAATCATACTGTACCTGACCTTGGAGTTCTGGATGGGACATCATAGATGGAGCTTTACTTTGTATCTAATCTGAGAAATACCCAACTCCTCTGCCCACCCCCTAGACAACTCCTGCATTAAGATATGAGAAAGAAATGCAATGTCAGGACTAAGGCATAGAAATTGCTGATCTCTTCACTGCAGTCCTTAATACAACTGTGTGAGAAGCACTTAAAGCCTTCAAAATCCTAACCTCCTTTAATGGTTCACTGTGTACAGCAATTGTGAATGTCATACCGCTTTTCAAAGCAAATGGGTTTCCATTAAGTGAAAGCAAAGTACAATATGTCACAGGAGTTTAGATCACATATAAGGCTGTTCTAAAAATATTTCAAACAATGAGAAATTTGACCATTGTATCTGGACTCAGACTGCAATTTCTTCTGCTGCATTTCTATTCCTGTTCAACCCTGTGCTTTAAACTTACAGGTCAGAAAATATCACCAAGTGATATAATAGCCATTTATGAGCACAGAACCGTCTGACTCAGGATTCATGGAGGAGGGGGTTCTGACCTTGTTCAGATTGTGCTATTCTAGTATCCCCTAAATAACTTTAGAAAGTCAGTTTCAGGCTATGCTTTCATTACATCGAGGCTTGACTATGCAAACTCATTGCTTGTCGGCCTCCCCAATTCCTCCCTCCATAGGCTGCAGATCATCCAGAACTCTGCAGCCCGCGTCCTCTCCCGCACCAGGCTCCATGTCCATATCACCTGCATCATCGCCTGACTCCACTCGCTTCCCATCACACAGAGGATTCAGTTCAAGATCCTGGTCCTCACTTTCAAAGCCCTCCATTGTCTTGCTCCCCACTACCATCCTGCTCACTCCCTCCGCTCAGCGGGCTCCAGCCTGGTTTACGTCCCCCGCCTCGTTCACCCCACTATTGGCAGGCTGCCACTCTGCCCCCACCCTCTGGAACTCCATCCCGCAGTTCCTCTGCCTCGCCCCCTCCCTTGCTTCCTTCAAGATCCATCTCAAGACCTTCCTCTTCCACCGTGCTTTCGATCTCCCTGCTTTCCCTCTGCACTCCGCCCTCCCCCACCCCCAGCTCGGATCTGAAGCTCTGTCTGTCCAGCGCCTTGGGACATCCTCTTGACATGAAAGGTGCTATACAAATTTTGTTGTTGTTGTTGAAAATGATCCCTGCTACAAAGGAATCTAAGATAATAAGAATAATCCTTGCATTTGGTTCAGCACGTGTCACATTAAGAGGATGTCCCAAAGTGCTTCACAGGATTTACAGTGAATTGGCGTCACTGTATAGTTGTAGGTGAACGAAGCAGCTTTATTGCAAGCAGCAATATTCTACAAACAACATGGAACAAATGACCAATTTTATTTGGGGGATTGTTGGCTAGGACACTAGGAGAAACTCCCTTCACTTATAAATAGTGCAATGCGATATTTAAGATCTACATGTACAAGCCGATAGGAAGTTGATTTAATGTCTCATCTGAAGGACAGCACCTCTGACAATGCAACACCCCAGCATTGCATTGGAGCTCACAGTACGTGTGTTTGAGTCCTGACTTGGGGCTTGAATCCACAATCTTCCAATTAGGAAAGTTCCAGAGTGTTACTCGCTGAACCAGGCTGACACAAGATGGCAAAAACCAGAACACTGCTAACTATTCAGAAGTTGGGGTCTATTTCAAAATACATTTTGATGATGTTCTTTTAAAAAGAACAGATTGCGTACAGGAATAACCCAATTTTGACACCACAATTCTGATTTTTTTTCCCAAACCATTGTCACTACAAATTTTGGGGCCAATTTGGGGATGAAATGTTAAACCTATGTTTTTGTTCAGTCCGTTTGTTTTTGGACTATTTCTAAAAGGACAGAATATTCCTCTATGAAGTGTTCTCGAATTGTCATCTCAAATCAACTGAGTAAAATAGAACCCTTGGTGATGTGGCCGCAATCTTAGCTGAGCCACTAGATGGAGGCAGTGAACAGAGGTCTGGGATTTCTTTGCAACTCTTGGGGTTCCAAATCATAAGATCATAAGACACACGATTGGTCTGGACGAAGAAGGCTCTTTAGCCCATCAGATCTCGTCCCTCCAGAACACCAATCACTGCATCACATTGCTTTCTAAATGAATCAGTGTCTTGGCCTCTACCACCTTTCCTGACAACCTGTTCCTGTTGATTCCTCTGCATAAAGAAGACCTTTTTAGTCTCTGTCCTGAAATTGCCCTTTACAACTATAAACCTATTTCATCTTGTTCTGCTCTTCTGTATGGATCCGAGTTTACTTTTTCAATCCCATTTATAATTGTGTACAACTAAAAGCGAAATGAATGAGCAGTTTGTCTCAGTTCTTGCCTCTGAGCAGAAGGTTTGTGGGATCAAAGTATACAGCCTTGCTGAGGGAGCACTGCAATGTCAGCCAACCTTCAGAACCCAACCTTTCAGCTGGGCAATGGAGCGGGTTGTTAAAGGAAGAGAATCCCAGCATCACGTAACGAGTGGCTAATGGGTGTATGTGTATGTATAAAAAAGACACATTTACTGCTTTTGTTTTTGCAGCATCGAGCCCAGCATGACTGTGGAACCTCTTCTCGAATGTCCTCATCCCCCACCTACAGCCTGTATGTCTTTGTGCGGAACTTTGTATGCAGAATCGGGGAGGATTCGGAGCTCTTCATGTCACTGTACGATCCACACAATCAAATAATCATCAGGTAAGCTGACAACCTTGCTGTTGCCAATAGCAACTGTTCTTTCAGTGTGGACCCCCCACTCTTTCTCTGTGTGGTGCTAAATCAAGTGGCTGACACTCTCGTGATGTGCTGAGGGAGCACCTCTGTGTATCTAGTAGTAAATAGGAACCTGGTTGTTAGTCGTGTGAAGAGTGCTGTAGAATTGCTGGTTGTGGTTGGTACATAATCTGCATTTCCTCCCACCCCCTTCCCCCCACAAATATACACATTTTCTCACTCTTCTCTACAATTTCTTGGTCACTTTTCTCCCCTTACTCTGCAGAAAGGACTCATGGTACCAATTTGGTACCTCAGTCCATCCTTCGTGTTAAACCCACACAGTGAGCGAGCTGGCTACTCAACCGTAGAGGGCACCACAGTTGAGACAAACCTCCATTGGTTAGTGATCAGGAACAGGAAACTCCTTTAATCCCATTCCGCTATTATTTCTGCATCATATGTGTGATGGCGCCACACTGGCGCTATCTACTCTGTCTATCTACTCCTCTTTCCCCACATTCTTCAATATTATTTTTCTGAGTATTTATTTATTTAAGTATTTGTGCAATTTCCTGTTATAAACTCGGTTTCAACAGACATTCATGCAATTGAATCGATATTGTAGCAGTCTTCTGTAGAATTCACCTCCCTTTTTCAGCTGGTGATAATACTGATTTTATGCCCACTAAAGCAGTGTTTCACCAATCTTGCAAATATTCTCTCTCCGGATACTAATAATAAATTTACAGGAATACATAATTACACATTCACATCAGCCTACTGGGTATGTTCGTACATATGTGGAGTTCTTTAGCTCAGAGGTTAGAGCACTCGCTTTGCAAGCAAGAATACCCAGGTTTGATTCCCAGCAGGGTGAAACGCTGGGCAAGTTTCCTTACTCCACATGCCTCTGTGTATCTAGTAGTAAATAGGAACCTGGTTGTTAATCGGTTGGCGCATCACTTTTCTGGGGGTAATAATTCCTTCAAAAAAAACACACCCACACAATTCACTTTATGGTATATTCTGTGAAGTGATTTGAGACATCTCGAAAATGTGATAAGGTGCTACATCAAATGCAAGGATTATTATTATATGAATTTCTCTGTCTAGTTACATATCAATTACATTAATCAGTTCAATATGTTAAGAATATTTTAATAGATCCCATGTTTTATCCCTGAGGTCAGAGGCTTCATATACATTTTGCTGAACCTCTCCTGTTTCCTTTTTCTTACAGTGAGAATTATTTAGTGCGTTGGGGGAGCGGGGGACTCCCGAAAGAGATTGAAATGTTAAACAACCTGAAAGCTGTCTTCACTGTAAGTAACAACATGTTCTCTGCACAGAACACAGAATGTTGTAGCTAAGAAACAAACCATTCAGCCCATCAAGCCTGCCGTGATATTTCTCTCCACAAAGCCCTATTTAATCCTATTCTCGTGCTCGCTCATTAATATAATGCCCTTAACATAAGATAAGGTCTTGATGCACTTAATTTCCCTTATTATTCCTCCTTTTCTTTACCAAGCCCTTTGAGTTTTTTTTATATGTATGAAAGACACTAAATACAATGCATGTTGACATTTATATAATGCCTTTCACATCAGGATGACCAAAGCACTTAACAGTACCGGCTGGGCAACTGAGCTGGGAATGGGAGCTGAGGGATTAGGGAGGTGAAACCATGATTAAAAAGGTAGGTCTTGAAATGGACCTTGAACAAAGTGATGGAGGGAATGAGTTGGAGGGACTCTGGGATAGAGTTCCAGAGAATGGGGAATAAAGGCTGGAAGCCTGCCCAACAATGATGAGATGGTCAGGGCAGGGGACATGAAGCAGGCCAGTGCTGGTTGAGCAAAGGAAGCGGCCCAGTTGATAGGATTGAGGAGGTCACAGAGGTAGGGTGGTGTGAGACTGCGCAAGGATTTAAATGTGAGAATGAGATTCGTGAACTCAATCTCCTGAGGGATGGTGAAGCTGAGTGAGGATGAGCTTTTGAGATATCCTCCAGATATGAAAGATGCTTTACAAATGTAATTTTGTATTGTATGGTATCGGCTCCTGGAGCCTGGTGCTGGAAAGCACATGGGGTGCAGAGTTATGGATCGTCTGCAGCCCGATAAAGCGCAAGTTGTCTCTTTGCAAGTAGAATGAACTGTTATTCATCGCGCATTGTCCCTGTGACAGCTCAGTTGCCTTTGCTCAGAAAGCCAAAGCCTTTGTGTCAAGGCAGGTCCCTGATCTGAAGGGCAGAACTGTGCTGAGTAAGAAGGAAAGGCATTATAGGATGAGAGAGGTGAGGAGAAAAAAATCATCTCGCCCCTCGTGGAGTCCTGTAGCTCAGTGGTTAGAGCACTTGCTTTGCAAGCAAGACACCTGGGTTCAATTCCAGGCAGGGCGAAACCTTGGGCAAGTTTCCTTACTCCACACGCCTAATAATAATCCCTCCAAAACCCAAAACAATAATAAATTGGTCATTTTCAATCTACGACTGTTTGTGGGACATTGCTGTGCGCAATTGGCTGCCGCGTTTCGCCCACAAATATACAGTCAATTCACTTTACAGTATATTCTGTGAAGCGCTTTGGGACGTCCTCCCGACGTGAAAAGCGCTATATCAAATGCAAGGATTATTATTATTATTATTATTATTGGTATTCAGTGAATCCTGCTGGAAAGTGTGTGTGTACAGATGCTGAGTGGGAACAAGACAACAACAAGATTACATTTGTATAGCGCCTTTCACATCGGGAGGACGTCCCAAGGACACTTTTAAAAGACTTTTTATTAAAAAAATTAAAAAAAAACTTTTAAAGGACACTTTTAGACTGTAATGTGTCCCTATCCTCCTCCCACCATCCCATGGTCACCACTTGCCAACACTGACTGTCCAATCTTGCACTTGAAGAACTGCCACTGAGAGGTATTGGAGGGGAACTTGTTCCAGTGAAACTATAAATCGAGCACGAGTTAGTATTCTCTGGAGAGGAATAGGGAACAGGCTTGGAGTGCAGGGAACCAGAAGACTACAATCTACCAGTATGAAAGTCACCTCTTGTCCAAATGAAACTTGTGATTGAGTGAAGCGTTGCCTTGTTCTCAATTGTGGAAAAAAACGTGATTAGCAAATTCTGGCTTTTAGTGTATGACTGTGATTAATGTGGTATACTGGAGAATAAAGGAGAACAAGGTTACCTTGTTACTCTGGGGAACAAGTAGAATATATGTTTATTAGTCAGTGTCACAGAACTACGCAAGAAAAAAATGCCCATTTAAATGAAGCTTGCTGTTAGTTATAGCCATAGTTTGAGGAGGTGTTCTACAGTGAAACAGCCTTATCTGTTAAGTTTTGCCTCTAATTCTTTAATGCTATTTGGAACATGTTAGCTTCTGAGGTGCTGGGATCGATCCTTTATATTCCTATGTACCTTTGTAACTCTATGACTCTACCTCCACCCTCAACTCCAGGGGAGGGGGAAGGGTGAGTGGCGGAGGAGGGGGAGGAAGGGGAGTGGGGGAGGCAAGGAGAGGAGGGGAAGGGGGTCTGCTTTAGACACATCTGATGTGATATATTAAATGTGCTGCTAAACCAGTGGAGTCCAATTTGCGATGGAAATGGGAAGTGCTATCAGTGACTTATGTTTAATATCGAAAGGCTTCTAATTAGTAATTGCTGTAAAACTTCTAATTGTGATTTCCAAAATTTAATGAAACGCAGAAAAATAACATCCTGGGAATGAAACGGGACATATGGTGTCCCTTACTCAGGCCTTTTCACTACTTTGGGATATCCTCCCGACGTGAAAGGCGTTATACAAATGTCATTTTGTTTTGTATTTGGCATCTTTCAGAAACATCGTTAGCTGCTTTGTGAATACAACAAACTGGACATCGTCCACAAGTTGCTCTAGAAATCCCAGTTAACAATCCAAATCCTGTTTGCGAATATCACAAATTAGACCTTACTGAAGTGCTCTGGGCTAAACTGTGAGTGTCATTCTGCTTAGGATCTGGGAAACAAAGAACTCAATCGAGAGAAAATTTATTTAATTTGCCAAATAGTCCGGGTTGGAAGGATGGATCTGAAGGACACCCATCAGAAGAAATACACGCAAGGATTGAGACGACCTTTCGGAGTGGCAGGTAAGTGCAGATGCACAATTGGCTGGAATGAGATGGCAGACGTGCTGTGTGCTGCTGCTCTTAGTGATCTGAAACTATGTCCAGCAGTCTAGCTTGAGAATGGGAAACACAAGTATGTGGCCGCTAAGAAATCACAGTGTGAAGATTGAGACCGAGAAGGTGATAATTATCACCAGTATCATTGAAAACTGTTCTGAAGGTCAGGTAACAGTAACAATAATAATCCGCCGCTTGGCTCAGTTGGCAGCATTTTCATTTCAGAAGGTTGTGGACACAAGCGCCAATTTGAGATTTGAAGTAACCTAATACTCCAATGCAGTGCTATGGGAGAGCTGCATTGTTGGAGATGCTGTCCTTTGGGAAGCGATGTTAAACCAAGGTCCTGTCTGTATTTTCAGTTGGATGTTAAAGATCCTATGGCCCAAATCGAAACGAGAAATCTCACAGACAAAATGAATCATTCACTTCATGACTGTCTGTGGGACATTGCTGTGTGCAAATTGACTGTTGCATTCGCCTACAAAATACACATTACCATAAATCTTATCAAGTACTTTCAAACATCCTTCTGATGTGAAAGGTGCTGTATGAAATGCAAGGATGATTATTATTATTATTGTAATGTTCACCTGAATGGGCAGACAGGACCTTGGTTTAACATCTTATCTGAAGGACAGTATCACTGGCAATTCAGTGGCCCTAGCACTGCACTGCCATGTTTGCCTGGTCTGTGAGCTCAAGTCCTGCTCAACCATTGCCCCAGTTAAATAGTTAGACTTTATTAGAAACAGAGTGACTCTTTAACATAGCACAATCTCACCATTTCATTTGAAGTACCGTACCGTTTACTTAAAAGATGAGCTTTATGCATAAAAAAGGGTTATTACACAGACAATGAATTACAATGGCTGCAATTTCCTTTTGATTTCTAGTGAATAGGCCAATTCCATTTGCATGATGTGCTTTGAAATAAATGTGTAATATCGTACGTTTGCTCAGTGGGATGGGATAGAGCACAGTCCCCATTGTGTGCTCCATCACCCTTCGGGCACATAATCTTTGGTTTCAGATCCCATCAGTTCAGAGAGTGGCAATTTACTGCTGCACAGTGAAGATTGGATTTAAATTTCTGTAACATCAAATACAATTCACGAACACCAAAACTGATTTGAATAAAACCATCATTCCAAAGTAACACTGCTCCTTAGAGTGTTGAGCTTGGCTGAAATGTGAAGTGTTATATAGGCCCTTTAACACAAGTAGTGCCTCGGAGGGCATAACAGTAGCATGGCGTGAAACTGAGTTGGAAAGAGAGGGGAGGTGACTGAACTTTATGGTGGAGCTGGGGAAAACAGTGAGGGGTGCATTGGAAAAATCAAGGTGGGATGGTGATGGAAGTATGAATGATTGTTACAGCAATGTTTGAAGTGAGGTAGGGTCGAAGGCAGGTGATGTGGCAGAGGTGCAGGAAGGGAATCCTATCAATCACTCTATGGCTGTTTGAGGGATATTGCTGAGTGAAACCAGCTGCTGTATTTCACCCACAAAATATACACTCAATCCACTTTGCAGTATACACAAAGATTATTATTATATTATTATTGATATTTATTACTATTATTATTAACTGTTTAGACTATCTAATATCATCTAAATGGAATTGATACATGCTTTTTTTATTGGTTGGATATCCTACTCTTACATTGAGAAACGGGGCCAAGTGAGACATGTCAGTCTCAAATAATTCATAGCTAAGGAGCTAGCAATGAGATCTATCCTCTCAAAGTCAGTGGCATAATAAGCCCCCAGGGCCCTTGGTGCAAGAATAAGTTAGGAGACTTTTCCCAATCCCAAAATCTCAAATGTTGCGTGTGAGAACCTGGGAGATCCAGCCATTTATTCCCGTCCTCCTACCAGGAGGCTGCATTCCCAACACTGGGGGGTGGGTGCTGGGGTCTGGGGTTGGGGGTTTGGGGTTGGAGGCCAGAGGCTGGGGCCTTGTTGGTCTGGCTGGGGGCTGGAGGCTGGGGATGGGTGCAGGGGCTGGAGTTGAGTGCAGGGGCTGGGGCTGGGTGTTGGGTGCTGGGTCTCCGTCACACTGCCCTCGCTCTCCCACAAGCTGAGTGGTCAGCCTGGGACGGGACCACACAGTGCAGCTCCTCCCATTCACCCCAGCCTAGCGAGAGCCACTACTCGCCTCCCTGGGACTCAGACCCTGGGCACACTGCAGGACACCCAGAGCCCCTCACTATACCAAGGTACCATGTATGGCAAATCAATAGTGGAATCCAGAAGCAGAAGAATGGGATTGTAAATAGGAGACAAATGTCAGGGCTCATAACAGTGAGCATGGATGGGCTTGGCAACACACCTGGTAATGATACCAGAGATATGGAGCAGGTGGGCGAGGCTTTTCTGTGCTGGGTCATAAGTGTGCAGACTGGGGCAAAAATAAATGCTCCAACCAGAAAATTCACCAGCAATTTCAAAGGAGTGTAATTCATGTCTTTTCACAATGCCACAAAGGAACATGTTATTGGGGTCAATTTAGCACTGGATTTTATATTTAAGCACTTTGAACGCCCCAAAATGTATTGGATCACAGCCCCATCCCCTTGCCATTCTTAATGATGATGTCTAAGAAGCTGGTTCATTTGGACATCTGGCTTTTTGCGAAACAAAAAACAGAGTTACCATTATTCCATTCACATGAACTGTAGCTTGATGGACATCACCATTTACAATGAGATTAAATTCTAATGTACTAATCACCCTAATATCTCAGGATTGCTTATATACCTGAATATGTTATGATGAATGTGTCTGTGAGAGAGATAGAGTGGGTGACAGAACAGTGAGTATGAGGCAGACATGCAGAATGTGTGCGTGAGATAGAAATGGGAAGGAAGGCAATATACAGTCTGACCTATTTAAGGTCAGTGATACGATCCCAAAAAACATGCATGCGTGGGAATGAGTCTGACAAAGAGTACTTGGCTCACAAATGAGAGAAATAGTCAAAAGTTCAGCTAGACAGAAAGAGATTTACTGAAAAGAAAGATTCTTAAATTCTTAATGTTGCCTTCCTGCAAGGACAGGCTCTGAACACTAATAATGTCAGAAAGATTTGAATTATTTATGGGTTGCATCTCTTCTGTAATCACATGGGTGTGGGTTTAAAAATGGTCCATTATTTTCAATGCTGCTGTTCTCTATCTAGCACATGTGGTCTCCTGTACCCGTCTACTGCATTCTTCATGGAGGTTTAGTGGGTGTTAGGATCATTGAGGAAGTCAACTAATACCTTCCAGTATGCCAAGAGTTCTTGAAGAATCAGATTCACCCCCTCCATCTCTATTGTCTGCAAGTCCTGCCTCAAAACCTACTTCTTCAACTCTGCCTATGGTCACCTCCTTCCCCCCCTCTCCCCTTCCAGCCATGCAATTGTAAGGGGTGCCGAGAAGTTATTCTACTTATTAATGGAAGTTGTTTGTTTCTCTCTCACTTTTTTCTCTCTCTAGTTATGGATATCACGGATATCATTAAAGGCAAAATAGACAGTGATGAAGAGAAGCAGCACTTCATTCCATTCCATCCGTAAGTCTAACTTTTTTTTGCAAAGTACACAGAATGTGTGAGGACAATGCGCTACTGTATGGATGGGATGCAAAGTATTCAGGTTTGAGATAGTTTGAATAACTGTCCTGGACACAAACACTACTGTTATAGATCTCTTCGTTTTAATTAACTAACCACATCATACAGATTTCAGGGGAACTTTTGAATTTACACCAGAACTTTGAGTTTATTGGGAAACACAAACTATCTGGGCTTGTATATAGGCCCCAAGTGGTCTGTAGGCAAACTTTTGAAACGAGCTGAGATAATTGCGCATTTCAATTATGCTGAGGTTTGAGATTTGAAGTTGCTCAGATTTAGAATTAAGCTGGGCAAATTCTGGGAATGTGACCTTTTTCAATGCTGTAGGTTAAGCTCAGAAATGTTGAAATGTATATCGCAAGAGGCATGGATGGAATAAAACCTGCTGAGGTAGAAGTTGAAAAAGACTTAGGGATGTTAACTGACTTATCATTTGCTGTGTAAGAACAGTGCCAGTCAACGATAGGCAAGGCAATGGAATGCTGGGCCATATTGCCAAATCAGTCGGGTTAATTTGAAGTTAAACTCAAACTGAACAGTGTTCTGGACAGGCCACACCTGGAGTACTCCAGACAGCTTCTGCTTGCTACAATTTAAGGGTGGTACTCCTCCCTCAGGCAATACAGGAAACAACAAGGCCGTTTCAAGTGCTAGAAGGATAGCTATAAAGAATAATTAGATACGCTAAATAAACTAATCTGTCCTAGTTTGATGTTTGCAATCTGCAGTCTTTGTATATTACAAATTAATTGTTATGCTTTTGTTTATTACAGAGTTGTAGCAGAGAATGAGTTTCTACACTCTCTCCTCAATCGAGTGATATCTACCAAGTCAGGAGATGAAAAGGGACAAGGTAATCTTAATCAGAACCAGTCAACGTACAATTAGAAACTACAGTAGTCAGATCTTTTGAAGCCTGGAAACTCAGCAGAGAAGGCAGCAGATATTGAGCCAGCAGGGTGGGGTAGGGGAAGGTGTGATGTAACCATTTGCATGGTCAAACAGTAGAGTTGCAGGATGATTTAAAGGTGATAGAGAGGGGTAAGGTGGAAGGAGAGAGGAAGGGAGTTGAGGTATGGAGATAGTGGCTGAAGACATGGTTAACAATGGTCAGATATGGGGACAAGGATTATGCAACTGCTCCAAGTTTATCTAACAGTGATGGCAGACACACGGGTGAGACTGGAGAAGGTTACAGAGGTAGAGCCAGAGGGAGGGTGTTGTGATTGGTAGGTGAGAGTGAGGATATCAAAGTGAATCAACTAAAAAAAACAAGATTCCATTTATAGAGCGCCTTTCACGTCGGGAGGACGTCCCAAGGCACTGTACAGTTGGGTCAGGACCCGAGCAGGGGGAAAATGGTTAAGGTGAGGGGAGGGAAGGGAGGGGGGCGAGGAGGGGGTAGAGAGTCGAGAGGGGAGCTGAAGGCACGGTCAAAGAGAAACGTCTTGAGACCGGCCTTGCAGGAGGAAAGGGAGGAGGCGGCGAAGGCACTGGGGGATGGAGTCCCAGAGCCTGGGGGCTGAGAGGCTGAAGGCCCGGCCACCGATGGTAGGGCGGTTGGGGTGGGGGATGTGGAGCAGATCGGAGCCAGAGGAACGGAGGGTACGGGCAGGTAGGTAGGGTGATAGTAGGTCAGAGAGGTAGGAGGGAGCAAGGCCGTGAATGGCCTTGTAGGTGAGGATGAAGATCTTGAATTTGATCCTCTGGGAGATGGGGAGCCAGTGGAGGCGAGCGAGGGTGGGAGTGATGTGGGCGCGAAGCCTGGTGCGGGACAGTACACGAGCTGCAGAGTTCTGAATGACCTGCAGTGTGGAGGGAGGTGCGGGAAGGCCGACGAGGAGAGTTCCCATAGTCCAGCCTTGAGGTGATAAAGGCGTGGACCAGAGTTTCAGCAGCGTGAGGGGTGAGGTAGTGCCGTAGTCTTGCGATATTCCGGAGGTGATGGAAGGCGGTGCCAGTTGTAGTGCGGATATGAGGGAGAAAGGACAGCTCAGGGTAGAACAGAACCCCGAGGTTCCTGACCGGCTTTGAGAGGTTGAGAGTGCAGTCTTGGATGCTGATGCTGTCAGCGCCTGAGGTGCGGAGGTGGTGACGTGAGCCAATCAGGAGGGCCTCAGTTTTACGCACGTTGAGCTGAAGAAAGTTGTCTCTTGTCCAGGACTCAATGTCAGACAGTCAGGCTGTCAGGACATCGGTGGTCGTGGAGTTGAGGGTAGAGGAGGAAAGGTAGAGTTGGATGTCATCCGCATACATGTGGAAGTTAACCCCATGTCTGCGGATGATGTCACCGAGGGGGAGCATGTAGAGGGTGAAGAGGAGGGGACCGAGGACAGAGCCCTTAGGGACACCGCACGAGACAGTGCAGGGGCCGGAGGAAAAGCCATTCGTGGAAACAAAGTGAAGACGGTGGGAGAGGTACGACCTAAACCACTCAAGGACAGGGCCTTGAAGGTTGAGGTGGGAGGACAAGCGGTGGAGGAGGATAGCGTGGTCGACCGTATCGAATGCTGCCGATAGGTCAAGGAGGATGAGGAGGCAGAGAAAGCCCTGGTCACAGATGGTCAGGATGTCATTGGTGACCTTGACCAGGGCAGTTTCTGTGCTATGGGCAGCACGGAAACCCGACTGAAGGGGTTAGAACTGGTGGCAGTTTTTAAGGGAATGGGAACAGAGCCAGAGGAGAGGGACAGGTTGACAATGTCTGTGATATGTGGGGTAAGGAGGTGGAGCTGGGAGATAAGGAGTGGAGTGGGGATGGGTCAAGGGAGCAGGTGGTGGGTTTCAGGGATAGGATGAGTTTGGTGACAGAGGGTGGGGAAACGGGAACGAAAATGTGTAGGGGAGGATGGGTAGGAGTCGGAGTGTGGGAGGGAAGGGGTGGGGGGGTGGGTGGATGTTGGAGGGGAAGTGAACGCGGAGCGAATTCCCTTGATTTTGGATTCAAGGAAATCCAGCATCTCCTCGCAGTGAAGGTTGGAGGAGATGACCTGCGCGGGGTGGCGGGGGGAACGGAGGAGTCGGGATGTGGTAGAAAACAGTAGCCTGGGGTTGTTCTTCACCTCCAGGATTATCCTAGAAGTAGAAGGACGACTTGGCCGAGGCTAGAGTGGAGTGGTAGATTTTGAGGAGGTCCAGCCAGATTTGACACAGGTGCATTCAGCAGCCCGCACCTGGCTTTTCAGTGAGCGGAGGTGGGTGGTGAACCAGGGGAGGAGCGAGAGTAGGAGACAGTATGGGAGGTGATGGGGGCAAGAGTATCGAGTGTGGAGGAGAGGGTGTAGTGGAGGAGGGTGAAAGGAGAAGAGGGGTCGTGAGTGTTGAAGGCCAGAGGGAGAGGAGTTCAGAGGATAAGGAGACAATATCGATAAGGAGACAGTAACGTCTGTACAAAAATGACAAAACTCAACAGAAATTTGTCAGTTATCCTCAGCCTCAAGCTCTTAGGTTGAGCAATATCAGCACTATCCATTCTTCTTTGGGGATTATATTATTTTCTTTGGGGATGATAATATTTTATCTCTTACACTTTTTTTTCGGGAGGGGTTAGAGAGCATCTCCTCTTCTTATGAGGAACAGCCGGTTGTATCAATCTATTTCTAATTTCCTTTTTTGTTTTGAGAAATAAATATTTCTTTAAATATTGCTCTTGCCTTGTTAATTCTTTCTGATAAAGGCCTTCACTATCTCCCAGCTACTTCTCTACACAACATTAATGACCCAGACACTTGAGTGTCTGGGACACTTGAGTGTCTGGGTCCTTACTCCACATTTGAGTCGTGCCTTCGTTGTGTGTGTGTTATGTGGTTAGTTCCACATTGTTGCATGTGGTCATCGCACATGGGTTAATGTTCATATTAAAAAAAGAGTTCAGTCACTGTTAGAATTTCCTTCTTTTCACAGGTCTCTGGGTAACTATGAAAATGTTGGTGGGCGATGTATCTCAGATCAGAAAGGACTACCCACATCTTGTGGACAGGACCACTGTGGTGGCCAGGAAGCTGGGATTCCCAGAGATTATCATGCCAGGTAATGTGGAACTAAGACACTTTCCCCACACCCTGCTTCCATAAAAATGGCACATACACATTATATCACAAAGGTTTTGCAGTTAATAATTGCATGCCATTTGTGATATTTCTTAATAAATTTCTTAAGAAGAGATATGTAATTATCAATTTTGTAAAACATTTCAGAATTTGACAATTACAGATTTCTTATTAACAAATAGATTCTTGTCTTGGACCTTGAGCAGAACTGAAGGACATTTGAAATTAACAAGCCTCAAGCAAGACTGAGGATTATAGAGAGAGGTATCCTGTGAAACAGAAGCATTTGAAATACTGTTGATTAACCATATCCAGGAACGGACGTAACATAGTGATATGTTTTAAGACAAGCTGGAATATGTTGTGTTTAGTGCATATTGGGTTGCGAAGTTCTGTCGTGTATTTAGAGCACTCACCTCGCAAGAGAGAGGACCCGGGTTTGATTCCCGGCAGAGCGAAACCTTAGGCAAGTTTCCTTACTCCGCAGGCCTTTGTTTACTTAGCAGTAAGTAGGAACCTGGTTGTCAGTCAATTGGTGGATCGTGTACCAGGGGGTAATAATCCCTTTTTTAAAAAAAATCTGGTCACTCAATCCATGGCTGTTTTGGCTTTAATGCTTGCAGTTTTAACAAGAAGCATCAATTAAAGCAGATGCCTGATCCATGCAGGTGTGCAGAAAGGGCCACGTAACTCACCAGCCAAGGTGCACAGGACTCTATAGATCTTATGCATCCTGGACACGATTAGGGGGTTATACCATTGATAAAGATTGCTTGTGCCATGGACGATCCTCGTCTAAAACAACAAGCTGCCAGCAATCCCAAGGCTCAGTTGGCTACCTCTCAGTTGAAATTACATTCTGCTAACATCACGATCCCGTCATCCTTCAAGGTGCCATGAATTAAATCCCTGATGGGCAAGGCTATCTACCTTGTGACACCCTGAGCACAATTTACATAACTTTGTTACCCAAGCAAAGCAATCACTCTAATTACCTGTTCATGCTCCCATAGCAGTTAATTGCAAACTAACCTCCCTCGCCCAGAATATCTGAAAAATAATGAAACAAAGGTAGTGGAAAAATAATCAATTCTTGTAACTCTCGTACATTGGCTCCTCACTTCCTTCAGCACTAATGAAACTGTCACCTGCTTACATGGCCAGCGCCATTCTAAAGGGAATTAAAGGGCTGTTGGTTAGAGTAGGATGTCACCCTGCCATTCTGCCCCTAGCATTCCTTCCTCCTCCTTCAGGGAAGGATGGTTGTGACATTAAGCTCAAAGATTTCGCTAAACCTGCTTGTGTTGGTGCTCATGCAAGATGGGTCCCGGGTCTTGACCCCCACCTCCACCCCAGGGCTGCCATTACACAGACAGTTTCTTAGGTGCCAGGTGGGATGGTTTACACAGGATCCATATTAGCTTTGAAGAGGCAACTATAGAGATATCTAAAAAAAGAAAAAAATCAGGATTATTGAGAAAGCCAGGTAAATGAGACTAAATGGATTATCTTTCAAAGAGGCAGACATGATGGGCTGAATGGCCTTCTGCTGTGCTATGGTACAGTTCTTTGTATGGTATTGCTACAGTACTGTAAATTAGTGTTGTTTGCTATGTTTGCTTCCGTAACTCACAAATTTCTAATTAATCTCACGCCATAAAAGCACCTTGAGACATTTATTTACATGAATCACACTACCTAAATGTAATTTGTAGTATATTATTAACTTCTAAGATACTTAAGGACAAGGGAGGGGAATTCATGAAATGATGTGAAAAAGTATGGTCAAAGCAATACTCACCATCAGTTTGCTCTGCAGGTGATGTCAGGAATGACATTTACATCACTGTGCAATCCGGAGACTTTGATAAGTACAATAAAACCACACAGAAGAATGTTGAAGTGATTATGTGCGTCTGTAATGAAGATGGAAAGATCATCCCAGTAAGGATTTATATCACTCAATCAACAAAATAAATGTTCTTGATTGAATATTTCTTGATTAATGCCATAAATCTTACCTAGACTGTGCAAAGGGGCCATTTCTTGACTTGCCTATGAGTCATTTCCAGCCCGCGGGCCACAAGTTTGCCATCAAACGTTTTAAATGCTGTTATGGACTTGGTTTTGTACTTGGTTTAAAGAGCTATGTATTGTACATCCATCACTGATGGAAGCAAAAGATTTTAGAAATTGGCAAATAAGTGCCATTCGCAAAGTGGAAATCCTTGTGCTAATTATAGCTCTTACAGCCATTGTGCTATTCACTGGAAAAATCATTATAACTATCATGATGCCATTTTGCTTTCTGACGTTTTCTCTCTCTTTTCTCGGATGAGAGGTCTAAAACACACAGCTGACAGGTCGGGAAACAAAACGTTTCTTGTCAAACAGAAAGCGTAGTTATTAATTTCTGTTTTACAAGAGTGGCAAAGTGGTTTGTTTTCCAACCTGTCAGCGGTGAGCCCTCTCATCTAAGAAAAGAGCAACAAAACTCCAGCAGTCAAAAGGGGATCGTGATATTTTTAATGATTTTGTAGTGAATCACTCAACTTATGGTGTAAGAGCCAGAATTCGCACAGTGACTTCCAGTTTACAGAGGCAGCATTTTCAACACCCCCCTTATGCCCCACAAACCTGTTCCATTATTGACTTGTTTCAATCTCCAACACACTTACCCATCCTCTCACCATATCTCTCAATGCATCTTGCTCCAGGTACACATCTAGCTACTTGGCTCCTAAATCTATTTATACTGTTCACGTCAATGTCTTAATCCACAGCTATACTGATTCATTTCTCTCAGCATTCCTAACTTTTTAATTTATGACTTGTTTTCCCTTGTTGTTTGAACTCTTTGCTGCAGTGAACAGTTTAGCTCCAATAACTTTGTCAATGCCCTTCATAAACTTGCAGAGAAGGATTTTGTTTGATATAGGACTGGGTGTATGGCAGGCCACAGGCATCAAAAACAAGACAGGAAAATGAATCAAACTGGACGGGAGATAACACCACTAATCTTGCATTGCAAACTCTATTAACTATAAAGCATTCTAGCAATTGGCGCTTTTAGTAATTTCACACTGTACATGGTAATGATTGCTAAATATGTTGTATAACGTAGCTGTACTTCTGATAAGGTGATGTGATGTATGTTTCCAGGTATCACTTTTCAGTGCTTAAAAGATGAATTGTTTTGATGCTTTTATCTAGAATGCAATTTCCCTGGGTGCGGGAGATAAGGCAGTCAGTGAATATCGATCTGTCATATACTATCAGATAAAGCAGCCACGATGGATGGAGATAATCAAGGTCAGTGAAAATAAATAAATTATTACCATATCATTTTTTTTCTCTCATTCAATTTTCACCCCTCTGCCTCAGACAGCATGACGTGGTAGGGTACTGTTCCACTAGCACAGGTTCTCTGCTGGTAACTCGTCCAAACTAATTATTCTACAACAATGTTATATGCAGGATTGTTAAAGATTATTATTATTATCGTGTCCCAGATGGTCTCAATGGATGAGCATGGAGTGCTGTGACAAGCAGAATAGCAAACAGCAGAGAAAAATCATAGCTAACACAGAAGTCAATTGATAATAAATTGACAGTGAATCATCAACCGCAGAAAGGTTCACTGACATTCTCATCTGTTTCTAGGTGGCAATTCCTATTGAAGAAATGCAAAGAATACACCTGAGGTTTATGTTTAGACACCGATCATCCCAAGAGTGTGAGTAATTTTATGAACCGGATGTTAATGTGAAACAAAACACCAATTTAGGTCAAGGTTGCTCTTTTCTTACTTGATCTTTCATCCCTGGTAAGACTAGCTTCAGTTCATTCTTCTAAGAGCATTCTTATGGTCACAAACAACATTACCTTGAAGATCATAGGAGTAATTGGTGCTAAGGTCATTATTCTTCATTAAAAATCATCCTATCAACCTATTATTGGGGATGGAGGGGTGGAATGATTGTACCAAATGTTAGAAAGTATTATTCACTGCTGATTTCATCACTGGTATTTGAATTAATATATTTAAGAGAAATCGTGATGCATACATGAAGAAGGGGCTAGAGAGGAATGGGAAATGTGGGGTGTGTGTGGCCTGCTTCTTTGCTAGATAATTGTATGTAATTCGATGATTTTCACTGATGATCCAGATAATGTGCACCTTGATATACTCTGTAGGCAGTGGGGAAAATGTGGGAGAAGAGGTCACTGTCATCATAGAATCACAGAATCATAGAATTATTCAGCATAGAAGGAGGTCATTCGGTCCATCGAGTCTGTGCTGGCACTTTGAAAGAGCTATCCAAATCAACTTCACTCCCCGATCTCTCCCCATAGCCCTGCAAACTTGTCCTCCCCAAATAATTATCTACTTCTCTCTTAAAAGTTGTTATCAAATCGGCTTCCACCACCCTTTCAGGCAATGCATTCCAGATCCGAACAACTCGCTGTGTGAAAAAACGGTAAATTTGCAAAGTGAAGGAGAAACACAAGTAACTAGGACCTGCAGAACCATTGGTTCTGAAATTTTCTTCCAAATACGGGGAAAGATTGACAGGAGACATTGAACCTGTAAAACATGTTTATTTTGGAGCAGAGTTGGTGTCTCTAGGTTTTCTGCTCTTTGGAAGATTCAGTGATGTTTTCATGGTATTAAGATATAATATCTAGGTGCCTTCCATATCTAACCCAAAATCAAAAAGCCTTCACGGTAAGGACTTTTAGGCTATTCAACAGTAAGCGACTGCACATTCAAGTCCTTCATCTTATATTCATCCAATATCCACAACAAGCACCTTCCGAGGGTGACTTTGAATAACAATCAATTTTTAAAAAATAGAGGGATTAGGGGATATGGGGATAGGGCAGATAATTAGAGATAGGTCTGAAGATCAGCCATGATCTTATCGAATGGCGGGGCACAGGCTCGAGGGGCTGAATGGCCTACTTCTGCTCCTAATTCTTATGTTCTTATGTTCTTAATCAGGTGTTGGACCCATCGTTAGCCTAGGGCAATTGTAGCACCCCTGGTCAATCAAACTCAAGATGGGTCAAGATTTGAACCCAGAATCTTCTGATCTGTATATAATAAAAATAATAATAATCCTTGCATTTGAAAAAAATGCCTTTCATGTCAGGAGGATATCTGAAGCGTTTTCCAGGATATAATCATCATCATAATAATATCCCACTATTTGGGTGATTGTTGGTCAGGTCATCAGGAGAAACTCGCTTCTCTTTTGAATAGAGCATGGGATCTTTAATGTCCAACTGAACAGGCAAACGGTACCTTGGTTTAATGTCTCATCCGAAGGATGCAACAGCCGCTCAGCACTCCAGTACTGCTTTGGAGTGTCATCTTAGACTGTGTGAGTTCAAGTCTTGATATGGGATTTGAATCAATCATCTGACGCAGTGGGAGAGTGCTACCACTGAGCCAAACTGACCAACTTCAAAGTGGTATGATTATGTATTTTGTGGGCAACGTTGCCCATAGCAATGTCCCATAAATAGCCTTGAATTTTAATTGGGGGATTGTTGGCCAGGCCAATTGTCAGCTTAAGACTGCATGAGTTCCAAGTCTCAACTTGGGGCTTGCCACACAATCTTCTGATTTAGAGGCGAAGAGGACTACCAACTAAGCCACGCTGTACGGCTCAGCACTATGTAGTGCAGCGCCTTTGCTCACTGTGCCTTGAGTGAAACCTTGTTCTTCGTTTGGTTCACTCTAAGTAATGGAATTCTGTCAGCTGTACTCCGCATTAAACACAAAGCGAAGCTCATCAAATGTCAAGAGACCCATTTGTCATAACAATAGCACAGCTCATTCAGTGTTAGAGAAGCAATTTGTCACAACAATTCCAGGCGGATGTTGAGCCACCTTTGGGAATCCAGACAGGCTGTAATTATACTGACAAAAACTACAATGTCACAGGCAACACAAAGACACAACGATTGATTTGGAAAACACACAAGCAGTTCTCATTTCTACAAAACTGAATTGCACCGAGCCACTTACAAGCACTCGTCCATCATCACCCCAAAGCACACCAATTTTTCATGGTGAAATGGATGTTTCTTCCCCACTAAAATCCATTCGTTCTACTCTCAGCTCTGATTGAAATACTTAAATAAAGAGGTCCACATCATATGTTAAATGTTTGCAGATGAAATGAGGGTGTCTGTGTTCTAACCTGACTGATAGACTCTAGAGGGTTCAAAATTATGGGATCTGCTGGTGAGTGTCCCTGGAGAAGATGTTTTTTCCGAAACAGATTTTCAAAAAAAAGTGATTCACCATCAGTTGAAGGCAGTCCTTTAGACTGTTTTCTATCAATTAGGCTTCTTCAAAGAAAGATTATCAACAGTGCTTCCCTTGGGCCCCCATTTGATTTCAAACAGAAAATAACCTTCAAGATAATTCTTATCATTATGTTGTTAGATATTTGGAGATCAAAAGTCTTCATTCCTGTTTATATGCAGGATAAAGATAAACTAAACCCTAATAATAGGTGTAACATGCTCATAAACTCATCAGCTCAATCTTAGAAGAAGGAGAATGAACAGACGAGTTTATATTGAATGATTTTACACAGAGAACAATGAATATCTGGAATGGGCTACCAAGGAGACAGATTATGTCATCGGATTACAGACCAGTTTGATGTCCACTGTAGGTAAAATTATGAGACTCTTATTAAGGATAAAATCATGGAGCATCTGGACAGAAATAAAATCATAAATGATAGCCAATATGGGTTCATGAAGGAAGGGAAGGTCTTGCCAATCTAATTTACTGGTTTTCTTTGATGTATGAAAAGGAAGCTTGATAAGGGAAAGGTGTGGATGTTGTATATCTGGATCTCAGTGAGGCCTTAGATACAGTTCCTCTTGAGAGGCTAGTACTGAAAGTAAAGAAAGCAGGAATCAGTGGAGGTACGTTACAATTGTCGGCCTTCCCAACTCCTCCCTCCACAGGCTGAAGATAATCCAGAATTATGTCCTCTCCCGCACCAAACTCCGTGAACCCCATCCCTCGACCCACCCGCCCCACCATTGCGGGAGAGCTTTCAGCCACTCTGCCCCCAACCTCTGGAATTCCATCCCCAAGTCACTCCGCCTCACCCCCTCCTTAGCCTCCTTCAAGTCCCGCCTCAAAACCCTCTTCTTCGTCCATGCCATCGGTCACCCCCCTTCCCCTCCCCTCCCTTCTCTCCCCCCTGACCCCAGCTCGGATCTGAAATGCTGTACACGTCCAGTACCTTGGGACGTCCTCCCGAAGTGAGAGGTGCTATACAAATGTAATCTTGTTGTTGTTGATACACAATTGGTTGACTAGAAGAACCCAGAGGGTATTGGTACAGGGAATGTCATCAGACTGGGAAAATGTAACCAGTGGAGTTCCACAAGTGTCTGTTTTGAGACTTCTTTTGTTTAATATTTTTATAAATGATCTGGAACTAGGAATCGCAAGCACAGTGACTAAATTTGCAGATGACACCAAGCTAATGAAGGTGGCAGATTGAAAAGCTGAACAAGATAGGTTACAGGAGGATTTGAACATACTTGGGAATTGGGCAGATTGGTAGCAGATGAAATTCAATGTGAAGAAATGTAAAGTACTTCACATAGGGACAAAAAATCCTGGAACGGACTATTATTTGAACAGAGGGTAAATAATATGTATGGAAAATGAAAAGGACCTGGAGGTCCTGATTGACAATAAATTGAAGCTCTCCCAACAATGCTCTATGTCAGTGAATAAAGTAAACCAGATGTTGGGATGTATCAACAGGTCAATAGCAAGCCGAAATAGTGGGGTAATCCTGCCACTATATAAATCATTGGTGAGACTTATAGTACTGTGTACAGTTCTGGTCACCGCAGTACAAAAAGGATATTGGAGAAATCAAGAAGATACAGAGTAGGGCAACCAAAATGATTGAGGGAGTGGAAGGGCTGGACTATGAGGAGAGACTAAATAAATTGGGCATGTTCACTCTGGTAAAGAGAAGATTGAGAGGCGACATGATTGCTGTCTTTAAGATTCTAAAAGGGCTAAACAATATAGATCATGACAGGCTGTTTCAACTTGTCCAGAATAGTAAAACCAGAGGACATGGCCTGCGATTGAAGAGGGATAAATTCAGAACGAATCTACGCAAACACTATTTCGGTGAGCGAATAGTGAATCTGTGGAACAGGCACCCTAGGGAGACGATTGAAGCAGGAAGTGTTGATTCTTTCAAACACTGATCTTCATTTAGGAAATAACATTATGGGATATAGTACATAAGTAGTTTTGGACATATGTGCACGTGACTGCCAGGAAGGTGGCAGGCGAACAAGATGGACCTTGGTCTTTTTTCATCTAGCATTTTGTATGTTCTTGTGTTAAGTTCAAAGAATAAATTTGCATCAATCTAGTGCCTTATAAAGGCAAAACCTCTCAAAGTGGATCACAAGTAATTGCTATCAAATGCAGTGATTTTTTTTAGGATAACTTAACAGATACTTGTGCTTGCAAGATCCTACAAACGGCTATGAGATATATATCAAATTAATCTGTAGGATTGTTCACTGGGACATCAGGAGAAATTCCCTTCTCTCCTCAAACAAAATCATTGATATTTAACGTCCACCTCTAAAAGAGGCAGATTGGAACTTCTTAGTTTAATATCTTCCTCAGACAATGTAACACTATCTGAGGCATTGCACTTGAAACCAAAACTCTGACCTCAAATCCTAATGTGTAGTTTGACTCAAAGATGAGTCTTAGCAACTGAGACCAAAGAGAAACAAATCACTCAGAAGGAATTGGTTAGCTGTTTGGAAAATAAATTGATTTAGGGGTATGAGAGATAGAGTAGTGTAAGATTATTTTGTAACTTCAGATCTGGCCGGATGAATTGCAATTTTCAGTGCCTTGGGACATCTTCCCGACGTGAAAGGCGCTATATAAATGTAATGTTGTTGTTGTTGCAGTGGACTTTTCCAGTCCTATACTCTTCTGTGTTTTGGAAATAATGAAGTCTTATGATCCAAAACTTTATTTTGAAAATATGAAAGCATTTTCAAGTCAGGATTGCAATCTCAATGCCACATTAGAGTGTGCGGAAGGATAGAGTGCTAGTTGATGGGATTGCCCTGCAGTTGACTCTGGGGATTGCGTGTCAGGTTATAGTGTGACAGAGTGGCATACACTCACTCCCTGTGGGAAAGCACCAAAATTCTACTCAAAGTTTCACTGCAGCATCCAGGAGCCATGGAGGGAAATTGGAAGATGGGGGAAACCATGAATTGAATCCATCTCTTTAGGGCACAGGGTTGGAAATCTACCCACAGCATTACCATGTCACTACTCAACATTTAAGTCAAAGTACCCTAGAGGAGACCTGCAGTGTAGTGGTTAGAGCACTCGCCTCACAAGCGAGAGGACTTTGGTTCAATTCCCGGGCAGGACAAACCTCAGGTAAGTTTCCTTACTCCATATGCCTCTGTTTACCTAGCAGTAAGTAAGAACTCAGTTGTTAGTCGATTGGAGAATCACTTTCAGGGGGTAATAATCCCATAAAACATATTAATAATATGAACAATAATTTGGTCACTCAATCCACGACTGTTTGGGGAAACTCCTGTGCACAATTGGCTGCTGTGTTTCACCCACAAAATATACAGTCAATTCACTTTACAGTATATTCTGTGAAACACTTTGAGACGTCTCAAAGACGTGATAAGGCACTATATCAAATGCAAGGATTATTATTATTATTAAAGGATAGAAATAGACAAAAAAAATGTAAAACTTAAATGATTCGGTTTGATTTTAGAAATCACTCTGTTCTGTCCAATTGATATTTTATAGTTATGAATCATTCACAAAACACTTTGTGGGATTTTAATTCACATTTGGGATTGATAAATTGTGGACTTTTGTCCATATTTTCTTCTGCTTGTGCAGTTATAATCACTTGCTCTTCACATTTGACTGAGTGGAAGCATTCTACGCTGAGCTGCAACTCATTCCCGAGCCTTGCTCATTCTCTCGTGCTTAATTGACTATTTTCTTTGTGACTCGTAGCCAAGGACAAGAGTGAGAAGAATTTTGCCATGGCCTTTGTCAGATTAATGAAAAATGATGAGACAACACTGCAGGATGGCACTCATGAACTACTGGTGTATAAGGTACTCAACCAATGTTTTGTTTAATTCAAATACAATCGTTCTGAAATACTTTAAGAATGAAAATTATGTTATGTCCACCTTGATGCCTGAGAACCTTATTAAATATTAGTTTCTCACTGTATTATATTGTCTATAAAGTGCCGAGTTTTTTTTTAACATTTTAAATTTTCTTAACAGGATAAGGGATGTTCAAAGTGAGAAGCAGTTTATCATGTCCGACTCCCAGAGGCAGTGCCAAACACTATGTCAGGTGTAGCATAGGTTAGATGCACGGCCAACAATACCCCATATAAATTTGGTCATTCACCTCATAGACGTTTGAAGGGCATTGTTGGGTGCAAATTGGCTGTCATGCTCGCCTACAAAATACATAGTCGCTACATTTTTAGGAACCCGGTTATTAGTCGATTGGTGGATTGCTTTTTTCGGGGTAATGTAATAAATATAATAAAATAATAAATTGGTCACTCAATCCACGACTATTTGTAGGAGACTGCGCAATTGGCTCTTGCATTTCACCCACAAAATATACAGTAAATTAATTTTACAGGATATTCTGTGAAGCACTTTGAGACGTCTCTAAAGACGTGATAAGGCGCTATATCAAATGCAAGGATTATTATTTTTTATTATTTTACAATATATCCTGTGAACCACTCTTGATGATGAAACATTGTGAAGAGATCCTGTATCAAATGCAAAGATGAATATTGTTTAAAATAATGAAAGGAATTGACAGGTTAAATAGTGGTGACTGTTCCCTTTTAGTCAAAGGATCCATTACTACGGGGCAAAGTTTTAAAATTAGAACCAAGATGGTTAGAACTGAGCAGAGGAAGCATTTCTTTACACAGTGGATTGTAACAATATATAATTCTCTGTCCTAAAAAAGCGGTAGAGGCCAACATGGATGTTTAAAAGAATTATAGACATATACTTGGGTATTAGAGATAGTAAGGTGAATGGGATTAAAAGATCTGCCAAAATCTAATAAACAGGTTTAATGGGCTGACTGGCCTCTTCCTGTTCCTATTTTCCTCTGTTCCTATGTTATTTGGTTAAACCAGTTTCAACTTAACAACAATTTCTTACAAAACACTTTTAATCATTTCGCCATTATAGGTGCTATATCAAATGGATTGTTTTATTTATTCTTTGGATAAATTCAAAACAAAGCTGCAGAAACACTACTTCAGTGAGAAAGTAGTAAATTTATGGAACAGGCTCCCTAGGGAGACAGTGGAAGCAGAAAATGTCATTTGTTTCCAGAACAAATTAGATAGCTTCCCGCTAGAAAATAATACCTCGGGGTACAGTATATAGTTTGGGACATGACGTGTCAAGCAACTGCCAGGATGGTGAAAGGCGAACTAGATGGACCTTGGTCATCTTTCATCCAGCAAATTCTTATGTTCTTTGGATGGTGCAATTGCCCACTGAATTTAGGGAGCCTTTCTTTTTTTCTTTTTTAAAAATAAACATAATTTTATCTTTCATTTCCTTGCACAAATCCTTTCTCTTGGCTGTTTTCAGGGCGACAGTAAGAAGATGGAGGAGGCGAGAATCTACACAAAGCTGCTGCCCACTCGCCCAAGCTCGGAGTACAAAGGGGCTACCTTGAGCCGTGCTAACAGCATGCTAGCAAGTGGCCTGTCCAACAGCTCTCGGGACAGCTTCTTGATCTCAACGCTCGTCTGTTCCACTAAACTCACCCAGAACGGTAATCGGCACAGGCACTTTGTGTTCCATATAATCACAGAAATATTATAGCATAATCTTAAAATTAGAGCTAGGCCATTTAAGAGTGGAACTAGGTGGTAGTTCTTCACCTAAAGGGTAGTGGAAATCTGGAACTCTCTCCCTCAAAAGGCTGTGGATGCTGGATCCAATCACATGTTCAAGATGGAAATAGATAGATATTTGTGAGGTCAGGGTATTAAGGGATATGAGTCAAGGGCGGGCGGACTTGAGGTACAGATCAGCCATGATCTTATAAAATGGCAGAACAGACTTGAGGGGCTGAATAGCCTACTCCTGTTTTTATGTTTCTATGCTTCTAGAAACTGGCTGTGTGACATATACTGGTGTCTTTCTTCACCTGAGCTACCCAATCTAATCCCTCTCGCCTGCATGCTCCCCACATCTTTAATATTCATCTTCTTTCGTTTGGGGTGTTTGCAAACCCACATTAGGAAAGCACTAACTACGCTTTACAAAAGCCGTCAAATTTGCAATGTTCGCGAAAGGGGTAGGAAATGACAAAAAAAAGGAAATACTTTTAAAAAAAGTATGAAGAGCCCAAACCTCCAATTCATTCATTTCACCAACAAAATATACAGTCAATTCACTTTACAGTATATTCTGTAAAGCGTTTTGAGATATCTTGAAGTTGTGATAAGGTGCTATATCATAAGTATTATTATTATTACTATCTTCGCGCGGCCTTTAATTTCCTCACTTGGACAACTTTCAGAAATTGCCAACTCCAATATAGACTCAAATTGTTAAAATAAATAATCCTTGCATTCGATATAGCGCTGCATCTTTATCTTTGGGGGTTGTTTCCCAGGATACTAGTAGAAACTTCCTTATCCTTTCAAATAGTACTCAGGGGTCTTTAGCATAAACGTCTGGACCACTAATTTGGAGCAATTCTCTAGTGAGCTGTTCAATTGTGTATCCAAATGTAATAATAATAATAATAATCCTTGCATTTGATATAGCGCTTTTCACGTCGGGAGGACGTCCCAAAGCGCTTCACAGAACATACTGCAAAGTGAATTGACTGTATATTTGTGGGCGAACGCGGCAGCCAATTGCGCACAGCAATGTCCCACAAACAGTCATAGATTGAAAATGACCAATTAATTATTGTTTTTTTTTTTGAAGGGATTATTATTAGGCTCTGTGTGGAGTAAGGAAACTTGCCCAAGGTTTCGCCCTCTGCCTGGAATTGAACTCAGGTCTCTCACTTGCAAAGCGAGTGCTCTAACCACTGAGCTACAGGACTCCACAGTCCTAATCTAATAGATATTCTAATATCTAATAGATATTCTTCCCTCATTCACTCTCAGTTGGTTGCCTGATTGAAAGACAGGAGTGATGATAGCCTTGGTTTCCAAAGGGAAACAAATAAAGCAGCAGTGTTTGCATTAAGTCCTATAACTTAAAATGCTTGGTGTTGTAACTTGGCAGCAGAGAAACCCGTAGGGATAGTTCAATGCAGCGGCTCAACCAACCTCTGAGGCCGTGTAGAGTTCTTTGTTTTTAAAATGACACGACTCCCTAGGCTTTACAGCAATTTATTCTTTGGAAATTCCTACACTACATGAAAGAAAAGGGGATTGTTTATAAATTGCATTTTATGCAATCATAGAAATTGCAGCACAGAATGAGGTCATTCGGCTCAAGGTGATGCTTACTTCAACACTGGAGTTATTTATTCAGGTCCCAATCCTGTACTTTCTAACCCTAACCCTTTTATATTATTCCTGTTTATTTGTTTACTCAATTACCTTTTAATATTGTTATGGGCATGGCTTCAATAGCAACTAATAGAATAGTAATCCATGTTATAATAATAGTAATATTAATAATCCTTGCATTTGATATAGCACCTTATCACGTCTTTGAGACGTCTCAAAGTGGTTCACAGAATATACTGTAAAGTGAAACAAAAATAGAAGTCGCTGGGAACACTCAGCAGGTCAGGCAGCATCTATGGAGAAAGGAAAGTGAGTCAACGTTTCGGATCCACGACCCTTCGTCGTCACCTCCCCATTAACCTACTTTCAGGCGTACTGAGACAGTAGAATATGGAGGCTAAGGTTAGAGTTGTGAAGGGCAATTTCAGGACAGAAACCAGAAAGTATTTCTTTACTCAATGAAATTAACAACTGGAATAGGTTGCCAGGAACAATGATTGAGGCCAAGATGCTGAAATCATTTAGAAAAACAGCTTGATAGTGTGATGGAAGGACGGTAGGGTGGGTCAATACAATACAATACAAAATTACATTTGTGTAGCGGCTTTCATGTCTGGAGGCTGACCCAAGGTGCTGGACAGTCAGGGAGGGTTGAGGGCAGGGTGGATAGAAGGGTGACCGAAGGCATGGTTGAAGAGGACGGTCTTGAGATGGGTCTTGAAGGAGGCAAGGGAGTGGATGAGGCAGATGGACTGTGGCATGGAGTTCCAGAGGATGGGGGCAGAGAGGCTGAACGATGAGATCAAATGGTCTGAAGGTCTTCTTCATCCGAACCCATATTGTGATCTTGTGAACTCTTGACATATATCAAGCTTTTTCCGGTGTCCTAACCAACAATCTCCCAAATAAAATTGGTCATTCACTGTATGGCTGTTTCTTGGATGCATATTGCTGTGCGCATATTGGCTGCCATGTTTTGCCCACAAAATACAGTCAATCCACTTTACAGTATATCCTATGAAGCACTTTGATACGTCTCAATGATATGATTAGGGTCAAAATCAAATCCAAGGATTATTATTATTATTTTTATCATTATTATGATACTCAGCCGAGAAGCTGTTGAAATCAAAATACCAACGGTCACAGAATGGAAATCACAATTTGCACAGCAACTTCCGGTTGTAAATCCTGCACTGTAGACCACATGGGACTTCAGCTTCCTGTACCAGAAACATGTCTATTAGGTAGAGTTCAGTTTTGAATGGCCAGTCTCGAAAATTTCTAGTATCCCATTTATATAACAGACTTTTTCCCTGGGAACAGTTCAAACACTGGAATCTTTGCATCCTGCCAGGGTCTTACGTGTATTTGATTAATAATTTAGAACTCTGTGTTTACGTGAACGTACAATGATTGATAGACCATGAGACCAGGATGAAGCCAATTGTGCAGCCTGGTATTCATTTGCTTGTTGAGCCCAGAGAATGTGAAGAAGAACAGGACAGAGAATGAACAGAGATTTGCTGTCGAGTTTGCTTTCAGTATTATCATTAGTGTGATATTTTGGAGGCAGGTTGCATGTCACCATTATCACAAACACAGTATTTGTTTCACTCTTCTGCACATGCATTGCATGTTTTAAAAAAAAACTCGCTAAATATATACATTTTATTGTATAAAACGACAACAACATAACTTATATAGCGCTCTCCACGCAGAGTAGCTTCTCAGAGAGCTAAACAGTGGCGGATCCTGACTCCGAGGCGGGGGGGGGGGGGGGGGTGGAGGGAGTGGTGTAGAGGTGGTCATAAGCATGGTCGAAGAGGAAGGTTTTCAGGTGAGTCTTGATAAAGGGGAGAGAGGGGGCAAGGCAGAGGGATTGAGGGAGAGTGTTCTAGAGTTAATGCTAGTGTGTGTATGCCAGTGATTGAATCTTATTATAGAAAAAGCTTTGCACAAGCTCAGGATCAAAGAGAGGAGGCAATACAATGCCTGAATTTCTGCATGTTGCACTGGTTTGTGTGACCAATGCTATTAGTCAATGTCAAGTATCAGTAATTGAGATTAAAATACTTCACACAGAAAGTCGTGGAATGTAATGCCCAGAAGATCATAGAGGCAAAATTAAATTGGGATGCTAAAAAAGGAGATAGATGAGTACTTGAGAAGTAAGTGTACTAAAGAGTATGGAGAAAAAGTGGAAAATGGGATTAAGGGATCTGCCATGATCGAATAAACTGGCAGAACAGGCCCCAGGAGGTGAGCGCTCTCCTCCTGTTCCTATGCTTTGTGAGATAACTGTGCTTCTCTGCTCTGTTTAGTGGGTTTGCTGGGACTCTTGAAGTGGCGTACAAAACCGGAGCTCCTGCAGGAAAACTTAGAGAAACTGAAGTATGTGGATGGAGAGGAGGTGGTTAAGGTACGGTCATGCTCTGAATGCCCATTAATAATGTGTAAACTTTCAAAGACTTAAGGTAACTTGCTGTATCCGAGGATAATTGTATCCCCTTTTGTATTAAAAATCGTCACATTTAATATAATGCCATTCACATCGTGCAAATTAGCTGCTGTGTTCAAATACACAGTCACTACACATTACACTCGTGAAGCTCTTTGAGATATTTTGATAACGTGATAAGGCACTGTATCACTGTGTCAGATTCAAGGGTTATTGTTATTAAAACGCAAAGGTGTCAGTTAATAAGAGTCTCACTTTGATTCAGAAGAGATTTAAGCTTACAGTTTAGGCTGATTCTCCACTGCAGCACTACTGGAGCTGTGGCTGCATTGCTAGAAGTGCTATCTTTCTGGTAAGATGCTAAGCTGATGTCCTGTCTCCCTGTTCACGTGGACAGTAGAAAAACTAAGGGAAAAGAGAAGTTTTTCTGAAGTGTCTTGGCCAACAATCCTTCAGATAAATTGGTTGTTCACTTCATGGCTGTTTATGGAACATTACTGTGTGCAAATGGTCTTGGCATTTGCCTACTGTAATTTCCTGTGAAGGGTTTGGAAACATTTTAACATAATAAGGTACTTTAAAAATTCAATTATTTCTTTAAGTTTGACATTATGTTTCTGTATGAAATGATAACTGCAGATTCCTCAGTGAATTCAGTGTTTCCAACTCACAAATTGTGTGCATTTCTGATCTTTAAAACACAGTTAAGACATATTCCACTGACATTACATCTCTCAGGGGTTATTAAGCACAAAGGAAGTTCAGTCTGAAAATAAATCTGTTCAGTGTCTCACCTATAACCTCACCTTTACAGTTCCTGCAGGACACTCTGGACGCACTCTTCAACATCATGATGGACCATTCCCACACTGACAAGTATGACATTCTGGTCTTTGATGCTTTGGTAAGGACAAGATTTCATTATGAATTTCATTAAAAACATTGCAGTGAGCCATTAACACCGATTGTTAGTTCCCATTGGCAAGGCCAAGGCCTGGGGACGTCAGAGTGTGTGTTGGGGTGCTGCTGGAGTCTAACCAGCTAAATCCGCATTGCTTGCCATGGTTATCGCTGTCTGGCAAGCCTTCCCACTGCTTGTCCAGCTAGGACCACCGCATCCATTAGGGCTTTGGCTTGCAGAGTTAACAGGCGATGAGTGGGATGACTCCCTGCCCCCAGTGACTTGTCTGCCCTTCCAGATCCTGCCAGCTGGCAATACTGTCATCAGGAGGCACAGGGAGCCCTAATCACAGGCAGAGAGGACGCCATCTGTGACTTTGACCAGAGCTATCTCGGTGCTGCGAGCACTGTAACATTACAGACATTTTTTCCAAATAAAAAATGATTCAAAACACAGTAGGAGCTTAAATAAATGTAGCAATAACAATGGTGGATGTATCTTTTCTCCCAATCCACCCAGTGTCTAAGGTTGACAGATGTGATGTTCTTGGTTATGGCTGACTACAGATGCTGCTGCCTATGTGCAGTTCAGATGACAAGCTCTGAGGGAGAGAACAGAGCACTGCAGTTGCATGACTGAAAAACAAAGCCTCCAGCGTTTTTCCAATAAAACTCTGCTGACAGTCTATTAGCGGTCACCTCAGTAAAAACACACAGGTCTGTGCCCATAAAGCTCTCCTGACAGCACGGGTCTCAACAACACAAACAACACCACAGCATGTTTACAACAGATAACTGGAGCATCTCGCCCCAATATCTCAGTCAATGAAAACTCCAGCAAACTGTCTAAAGAGTCTATAGGTCTGTCTTAGCATAAGCCTCTCATTATATACCGTGGCAAAAATAGGAATCTCCTTAGCAGAGCAGCAGAGGTTGCAATAACAAAAGTGCCCTTTGAGAGTTGTGTTTCTTGTAGCATTAACTGCTACCCACCGAGCACTTTGGATACAGAAGGCCCTTCAGGCCATTTGATCTCATATCTTTTCATTACAGGATCAAATGGTTTCTTTAATGAGTCCGGTGCCTCCCCAAACCCTCCCCTTTCCTGGTAAAGTATTCTAGTTGTTAATCACCCTCTGTGTAAAGAAATACTTCCTGATATCCATTGTGAATCACGGGCAGACAGTTTGAGACTGCCCTTGAGACATCTGAAGTAACAAACTGCACGTTTCACGGTTTAATGTTGCTGCTTTGGTGCTGAGGTGTAGTTTATTGTTCCTGAGTTGTGCTGCACGCAGACAGCTGATTAGAGGCAGTGTTTAAAGCCTGGCCTTTTGACTGCATCAATGTTGCCCATATGTGCTGAGCACAATAATTCGCCTGACAGTTGCTGCGCAGGTCCTTTGGGGGCAATTCTGGTGTGAATATAGAACACAAACGGATGTTTTAGCTACCCTCCGTATTTATGTGAAAGGTGCTATACAAATGCAATGTTGTTGTTCTAATATCTTGAATTCAATTACAAAATTATTGCAAATGTGATGATGAGATCATTTATTGAGACAATACTGGATATAAAATAATATACATGTGAAAAAAAAGCCTGGCTTTTTCCACAGAAGCAAAGGAGATTGAGAGAGGATATAATAGAGGTGTTTAATGTTTTGAGGAGGATGTGCAAACCCTGGACTGTTCAGCATCTTGGTACATCCTCCTGATGTGAAGGGCGCTATATAAATGTAAATCTGTAATGTATTGTATTTAGAATGAAATGGCAGACAGAGGGGAAAAAACATTTCTTTTAGTTGCAGATTCAGTGAGAAGAGGGCACTGTTTGTGAGCTGAAAGATTAACTGAGAGATTGTAAGGAATTTCTTCACTCAGAGAGGTGTTAGGGTTTGGAAATCATTACCAAAAGTGGCTGTTGAGGCTGGATGAATAGAGTTATTCAAAAGCAAAGTGGATAATCACCAACACAGTAAAAACATTTAGGAGGTGTGTAGGAGAGAGTTGGAGTGCGATTAATAAAGAAAAGGTGATTTGGTGGGGGGGGGGGGGGGAAACAGGTATCAGTGGCATGAACACAATAAATGAATGGCTCTCTTCTGTGCAGAAAATGTCAATGTGCTTTTGTCCTTCACACCCCATCCTAATTGAAACTCAATCTTTCCCAGTACCACTGGACCACTCCTTGCTTCCCTACCCCATCCCTCCCAGTCTTAGCCTTTTGACAATACACAACATGGGCATTAAAAATCTAAGTTTGTCATCACTTGCCAGTACTTCCTCATTTATCTTATATTTTCAATCTTGGTGGTGTGCTGCTCCATTGGCCTCGATCCATTAATGGGTAATAAACTGAAGTTTGACAGGAAATAAAAGTAAAATTATTCTCAGAGCAAAAATTTCATATTTTACATTTCTTGCCTTTCAGACTATTTGTCATGAAGCATGAGTTCCAGACCCATTGCACAATGTCACAATTTGTGGATGATAAATCACAGTATTTATGCTTTGACCAGGAAGTCATGGTATAATAATAATCCTTGCTTTTGATATAGTGCCTTATCACGTTGAAACATCTCAAAGCGCTTCACAGAACATCCTGTAAAGTGAATTGACTGCATATTTTGTGGGCAAAACGCGGCAGCCAATTGCTGCCGATTGTTATCGGCCTGATCCAAACTCCTAATTTTGTTGTTTCCAGCAGTGAAAAGGATGACATTAGGACTTTACAAATTCACTGGCTGAAACATTCCCTTGATTGGTACCAACCTGGTGACATGAGCTGGACGATTGCTCTTACCCTTTGGGAAGAGTATTTGTTGCTCTGGTACAATACAAAGATTATTTATCAATGATAATCCCAAATCCCTGTTTTTCCCTTAATCCGTTCAGACATTTATCTCATCAGATTTCACCAATGAAGATTATGTGGTGATAAATAACAACAAAAACAAATTACTTTTGCATTCTGCCTTTCACATTGGGAGGACACCCCAAGGTGCTAAAAATGCAATGTTTTGGCAAAGATTTCATTAGCAAATGTGTTGAAACATTTGATTATAAATTTCACATATATTGTGCCCCTATGCTCAAAACCCAGATTCAATACTGGCTCAGGGATCTTTAATTTACAATGATACCAGTGAACAAAAGGTTATGAAGAAACACAATATCTGCGAGGCACTGGGTCAGACAAGTGCAGGATTCTCAAGGAAAGAGAGAGAAAACAACTGAGTTTCTGGCTGATATAGAAAGGAGCTCCTAAAATACTGGAGGTCTTATCAAGGACTAGTGAACAGAAAAAGGTGTGCTGTTATTATATATCTGCATTGAAGTAAATGATTGTTGTTGCAAGAGTTACAAGGGATTGTATTACTACTCATCAAGGAGGCTAAACATTGTCATCATGGATTTAGAACTAATCTCTCACTCCTTGCCAACCTGCTGGAGTTCTTTGAGGAAGTAATAAACTAATAGATGAGGGAAATCCAGTAGATATATTTTGATTTGAGTTTCAGAATGTATTACAGGTGTGGGAAAATGAATGACAGAGAAAAAGCAACAATGCTTTCAATAGGTTGGATGAGCCAGTCAATGATAGATTAATACCTTGAATGCCTCAACATCCACGCTCCTTTTAACGTCAATAAAAGAATAACAGGGAACTAAGAATTAAGGAAAACTATCATTTTGGAGGTTTTATTGCACCATTTCCATTGATTTGTTTTCGAGCAGTGTTGATGACATCAAAAGCATAGCTTAGAGGAGTTACAGTGTCTGAAAGAATGCATTAAATGAATTATGCACAGTTGAAACATGTTTCCACTGTAGCAGCTGGGTAAATGAGTAGATCTAGTGCAGTCAATTCATTTGACTGCCTTGGTTCAACTCTGTAAATTCCCTCAAACCAAGCAGGTCAGTCAAAAAGATGGCAGAAATTTAAGATAATTAAGAATTAAAGAGGTTTGCAAAACTATTCCTCACACATATTTATGTCTGAATGTTCCTTACACATGTTTCAGAGAATGTGGAATTCTCTACCACAAACCGCTTTTGATGCAGAGTCTTAAACTTCTTTCAAAAGATAATTATATAGAAAATTGAGCAAGAGATTGGGATTAGATTAGGAGGTTCATAGGGAGAAAATCAACAGCCAGACTTGATGGGCTAAATGGTGTGTTTCTATAATATAATATTCTTTGACTCTGATCAGTACCACATTATACTCCACTTTAATTTAGTGGAATATTTTTGAGAGATTAAATTTAATCTTTACCCTTGAGAGCAAGTCATGAAGGGGAAAGTCGACAAATTTCTATTCGCATTCCAGATGAATTCATTGGATTCACAGCTTTTTTTGCTGTTTAATTCTCTCCTCTATTTAGATATAGACTACATAACACTTATAGCCATATAGGGTGAAGAGAGTAATTGGGAAGGACTAAGTCTCCAGCTTCAGTGCTGTAGGTTTGGTCAGCAAACAGCAGAAAGAAAGGCACTTCGACAAGTCCTACTTCTGGATCAGAGTTTCTGTAATATGGGATTCTATGGGATCCTGTTAGGAACACGACCACCGATTAGACCCCACTGAGAGAAACTAATCACACATATGTAATGTGTAAAATGGCATTCTTTAAAGAGAAACTGGTCCTTTGTCATTCTTTAATGTGTAATGTGTTTCTTCTGTCCCTCTTTAACCTAATCATAATCGTTTGGTATAAAGCCTTATCATATAATTGAGATACAATATAATACAAAATTACATTTGTATAGTGCCTTTGACGTTGGGAAGACGTTGGTAGCCAATAATAATAATAATAATCCATGCATTTGATACAGTGCCTTATCACATCTTTGAGCTGTCTCAAAGCACTTCACAGAATATACTGTACAGTGAATTGACTGTATATTTTGTGGGCGAAACGTGGCAGCCAATTGCGCAGAGCAGTATTCCGCAAACAGTCATGCATGGATGACTAATTTATGATTATTATTATTATTATTATATTTTTTTGAACAATTATTATCCCCGGTAAAGTAATCCGCCAATCGACTAACAACCAGGTTCCTACTTACTGCTAGGTAAATAGAGGCATGTAGAGTAAGGAAACTTGCCCAACATTTTGTCCTGCCCCGGAATTGAACCCAGTTCTCTTCCTTGCGAGCGAGTGCTCTAACTACTGAGCTACAGCCAATTTGTGCACAGCAATTGTGCAGTAGCTGATTGTCCCACAAATAGCCATAAAGTGAATGGCCAATCTTTATTTTGTGTTACAGATCTACATTATAGGGCTGATTGCGGACAGGAAATTTCAACACTTCAACGCTGTGTTGGAAGCCTACATCAAACAGCACTTCAGTGCGACGCTGGCTTACAAGTAAGTTTCACTCGACAGCCCTTTGTAAAACAGTCACATAAACCCAGAAGGGTTACAGGTTTGATCCCAAATTTGGGCAGAATTTGCTGATCGCCAGACAGAGAAACTAATCGCACATCTGTAATGTGTACTGTGTGCTCTGTCACACTCTTCAATGAGATGGATGTTAAAGACAGGCAGCTGGCTACGATCAGCTAACTCAGCCCATTATTTTAACTGACTCTCCTAGATTATGCAGCACAATACAATTTACATTTATATCACGCCTCTTACATCAGGAGGACCTCTGAAAGTACTTAAGTTAAATTAGAAAATAATAATAAAAATATCAGCCAGTAATTCTGCTCGCAATTGTCATTCATTGACTATTACTTGAAGAACTCACAGGAACAAGCTTGATTAAAATGTTCCCATGGCTGAATAGCAGGCCATCACGCATTGTCGCATGAGAAATGAACACTTGGTTGAGGTACGAGTGAGTAGGCACTGCCTACTGAACTGTATTCCAGCATAAGATGGGACCTCCAGTAGGGGAAATTGCTAGAGGATGTCAAACAATGTCTAGTTATACCATTATAATAATGCTCCTAACATATGTGTGATAGCCTTGAGTTAAAATATGGTTGTGAATTAATTTTCAGCTATACTGTCAAGTGTTTTAATGGTCTAAATCACAAAATTCCAACAGTAACAGCCTCGGGGTGTAATTTATGAGATTTTTAAATAATGGATCATGGATCAGAAAAATCTCTGTAATCACAGAAGCAGAATGTTACTGCACAGAAATTGATAATTTAGCCCATCGAGTGTATACTGGTATATCAAATGCAAGGATTATTATTATTATTATTATTATTATTATTATTATTATTATGATGTCAAAAGAATTGTTTTCTAATCTCCCTTTAATTCTTTTTGTGCTTATCATAAATTTGTGCCTCCGTCCTATTTATTTACTTATTCAATTATCCATTAATAATTCACCTCCAGTCATTTTATTCAATGAATTATATTTCAGGAAACTGATGGCAGTGCTGAAGAGTTACCTGGACAAGTCCAGTCGGGGTGAGCAATGTGAACCGATTTTACGGACACTCAAAGCATTGGAATACGTCTTCAAGTTCATTGTACGCTCCAGGTTCCTGTTTGCACAGTAAGTTGACGTTCTCAGTGACTGGTATGTGTGTCCATTTCTTATTGCAACTCCCATAAAGTCCATGTGTGCTGGTCCAGCAAGTTTATTTTGGTCAGCTGGTGTCTGTGACACACAGGAACCCATTACCTTGCTGAAGAATATCCAAACCAGACTAAGATCAACATATGTATGCATGCAGATTTCCTTGTGTCTGGAATGCAATGCACATTCTCTCCCTCGAGGGATGCACTTTGTTTCACTAATTCTGGAGAATATTTGGCACAAGTTGGTAGGAGCCAAGACTTGGGAACCCCAGAGTCCACATTTGGCTACAGCTAGAATTTAACTAGTTGAAACTGTCTAGCTTGCCATTAATAGCACTGTCTGGCAAACTTCCCACTGCTTGTCCAGCTAGCATTATCCCTGTTAGGGCTTTGGCTTGCAAGGTTAACTGGAGCTCAGTGGGAAGAATACGATTTACAATATAATTTACATTTATATAGCAATTTCACATTGGGAGGATATCTCGAAGCACTTAAAGAGCAGAACCCCTGCTCCCAGTGCATGGTCTGCCCCTCAAGTGCCCTGGAGTACTGTGGACTCGCCTGGTTCAGTAACCAGACTATTGAGACCACAACATAGGTTTGACTTGATTCCCACATTCTATTGATAAACATATCACCTCAGAAACAGCTCAGTTCTAAGGATTGCTGCTTACCACTCCACCCCACTCAGGAGGATACTTGAAACAGAAATCTCCTGAATTATTCAGCAGTGAGGAGAATGAAAAGGGAAAGCACTAAGTATGAGTGACTATTGCGAATAGGGAATCAACATTGGATAGTAAAGAAATGTACTAGGATTCATTTTGTGCAAACAGTTTTCAGTAGCTTTAATCTTGGTCTGAAAACAAAAGATTTTTTTAATTTCGGCACTGGCAATTTCAAAGGGATTTTCATCATAACTGGAATAAAACCTGCTATATTGTATATTACAATTGGATTTATTCATGTGGTGAGAGATGTGGTAAGACATCCTACACTCTGTATTCCATACAGTGCAAAGGTTGCTGTGGGTTTTGTAATATTCTACTCTGATCAGCAAATTTCTCAAATTTACTCAGGTGCACTTATAATTAATAAAATAAAAATTGCATTAGAGTTAGAGCACAGGGACAAATTTGTAAAAAGAAATCTAAATGTTCCGAATGAAGATTAGAAAGTAATTGCAATTTTATAGAGCCTTATCATGTCAAGCCATCTGATAGCATTTCACAAGTAATTACTGTCCAAGAATAATGATTGTATTTTGTTGGCACACTCAACAGTGATATTTTGCACAGTAAGGTCCCCAGATAAGCTATTGACCATTTTTATTTGATGGATTGTTGGCCAGAGCACTGGGAGAAATACCCTTCACTTTTCAAGTAGTGCCACTTAATTTACTGTTCAGGAACATAGAAAAACAGGAAAAGGCCATTCAACCTATTGTTTCCCCAGTTTTAATCCCATGCTCTGCCTTTTTGCTATACACCTTAATACTTTGACCTCCCAAGTTTCAGACTTAAGAACATAAGAATTTATTAAGAGGCGAAAGAAGACCAGGGTCCATCCAGATTGTCTTTCACCATCCTGATATAAATATATAAATAATATATAAATAATATAATAATGATTAAATAGACTTAAGTCTATTTTACATATCTCTATTGATTCTGCCCCTATAATTTTTTCTGAGACAGAGTATTTCATATCTTCACGAATCATTTGTATTAAGAAATACTTCCTATCTTGGTATCAACTGTCTTTGTTCTGATTTTTAGGTCTACCCTTTTGTAATGAATTCTTCCACAAGAGGGTAGAATTATGAACGATATAACCTGTCAATTCCTTTCATTAATTTCATTACATCAATCAAATGAAGCTTTAACTACCTCTGCTCTAAAGAATATAACCCTAAGTTGCCCTCCTTCTCAAAATAACTAAGCCTCTTTAACTCAGGTATTAATCTAAAGAAAGGTTGCTGGACCTCCTTCAAGGCCTTTCCTAAGATTGGATGCCTAAAACTGAACACGGTATTCCAAAGAGGTTTGACCAGTGATCTTGGAGCAGAACTGTGTTGTTTTTATATTCCAATAATACATGCCAGCATTTCAATTGCCGTATTGCCTGCTTTCTGTACCTGTGAACTAGATTTTAATGATCTGTGGACTTGAACTCCTTGATCTCTTGGCTCACCTTTCTCTCCTGGCACTTCTCTATTTCTAACATACTTCTAAACGCCAATCTTCAGTTTGAAGTGTGCTATCCCACAATTTGCAGTATTATATTTTATTTGCTACAGTTACGCCTACTCACTTAATCTATTTGTCGCTTTGTATTTGGAATGGAAAGAAAATAATATGTCCTGGGGGTCCTGATTGACAATAAATTGAAACTATCGCAACAGTGCTCTGCAGCAATGAGTAAGACAAACCAGATGCTGAGTTTTTTTAACAGGGCAATATTGATCCAAAGTAGTGGGGTAATCTTTATAAATCACTGGTGCGACCACACCTGGAGTACTGTGTGCAGTCATGGTCACTGCAATACAAAAAAGATATTGCAGCGATTGAGAGGATGCAGAGTAGGGCAACCAAAATGATTGAGGGGATGGAGGGACTGGATGATGAGGAGCAAATAGGTAAACTGGGCATGTTCACACCGATAAAGAAAAGGTTGAGGGGGCGATATGATAACCGTCCTTAAGATTCTAAAGGGACTAGATAATATGGACCATGATAAACTGTTGTATCGTGTACTGAAGAGTAGAACCAGTGGACATGGCCTGAGATTAAAGAGGGGTAAATTCAGAACAAATCTATGAAACCACTACTTCAGTGAGCGAGTAGTAAATGTATGGAACAGGCTCCCCAGGGAAACGGTGGAAGCAGAAGGTATCGATTCTTTCAAAAATAAATTTGATAGATTTCTGTTAGGAAACTATACTTTGGGATACAGTATATAGTTTGGGACGTGACATGTGCATGCGACTGCCAGGATGGTGGAAGGATGGAACTTGGTCTTCTTTCGTCTAGCAAATTCTTATGTTTTTGTTCACCTGTCCTCTTCATAGGGGGGCACCACTTGGGACTCCCCGTCAATCAGAGAACATCCCTTTTACTCTCTGCATACAGCTTCCAGCCAATTTCCTATATATCAGTGATGTCAGTGGGGCTTTTGCACATAGCAAGCAAGTGCCATGAACAGGAAGTGACTTCAATGATAATAATAATAATCCTTGCATTTGATATAGCACCTTATCATGTCTTTGAGACATCTCAAAGCGCTTCACGGAATATCCTGTTAAGTGAATTGACTTCATGTTTGTGGGTAAAACGTGGAGGTCAATTAGATTGAGTGACCAAATTATCCTTATTTATTCATGATTTTTTAAAAAAAATTTGAAGTGATTGTCACCCCCAGAAAAGTGATCTGCCAATCGATTAACAACCAGATTCCTACTTACTGCTAGGTAAACAGAGGCGAGTGGAATAAAGAAACTTGCCCAACGTTTCGAACCCAGGTCCTCTCACTTGCAAGGCGAGTGCTCTAACCACTAAGCTACAGGACTCCACAGTGATGCTTCATTATGCTTTTGAGCTGATGACCTGATGGGCATTTTTTGTTGCAGGAAGCTGGCTAGTCGGGATTACCATGCTTCTGGGTAGGACAGAGCCACAAACTCTAAGTGCACTCAATCGGGGTGGAGGTGGGGGTTTGGTGGGGCAAGGGAGCGATCTAATGGGGTTTTCCTGTATGAACCAAAGACTTCCTGCTTTGCTTGATCCTTGAAATTTCAGTCAGACCCTCTCTAAACTGCAAAATGTTCTTTTTACCTTAGACTTTATGAAGAGAAGGAGCAAGACGAGTTTAAGGAATCGCTGAAAAGTCTGTTCCAATCCATCAACAATCTGATGAAAAGTCAACAAACTACAATCATTCTACTGCAGGTTAGCTGACCCATGTATTACCAACAACAATTTGCTTTTATACAGCATCCTTCACACAGGACAGAGTCTCGTTTTGCTGTTGGATGCCAAGAATCAGAGAAGGGGCAGGGGGAAGATACCCATAGAAGATAACAAGAAAATAATAATAATTTGGTCACTTATTCCACCACTGCTTGTGGGACACTGCTGTGCACAATTGGCTGCCACTTTTCACCCACAAAATATACAGTCAATTCCCTTTACATAATATTCCGTGAAGCACTTTGAGACGTCTCGAAGGTGTGATAAGGCGGTATATCAAATGCAAGGATTATTATTATAATATAGCATTACATTTATAGAGTACCTTTCACGTTGGGAGAATGTCCCAAAGCGCTGAACAGTCAGATGTCGGAGCCCGAGCATGCGGGAGGGTTGGTATAGAGGTGAGGGAAGGCAGAGAGGTGGGAGGGCAACCAAAGGCACGATCAAAGAGGAGGGTCTTGAGACCGGCCTTGAAGGAGGCAAGGGAGGAAGCGAGACGAAGGCATCATAGGATGGAGTTCCAGAGTGTGGGGCAGAGAGGCTGAAAGTTCGGCCACCGATGGTAGTGAGGGTCGGGCAGGAGACATAGAGCAGGCGGAGCCCGATGAATGGAGGGAGTGGGTAGGTTGGTAGGGAGCCAGCAGATCAGAAGGGTGGGAGGGTCAAGGCCATGGATGGCCTTAAAAGTGAGGACCCAATCGAGGAACTAGGTTTTAAGATGTCCCTTAGATAAGAAGAGTGAGGCAGAGGTTACTAAGGCAGGAAGTTAGAAGTTCAGGCCATAATGGCTGAAGGCACACCCACCAATGGTGGTGTTGAGGGGTCAGGGGACAAGCAGCAGCCTGTGCCAGCTGAGTGATTAGGGAGGGCAGGGGAGTGGACTATGAAAAGGTCAGAGAGGTAGGGAAATGCTTGACTGTGAAGGCTTTGTATGGCCTTTTGGGTCTGGCCTCCTCCTTGTCCCCCGAGTCCTCCACTCCACCCTCGGTGGCAGTGCCTTCAGCCACTATGCTCCGAGGCTCTGGAACTGCCTTCCTCACTCCCTTCGTCTCTCTCCCTCCCTTCCCATTTTCAGGTCTCTGCTGAAGACCTTTCTTTTCGACCGCGCCTTTGGTCACCTTCCTCCCTCTCCCCCTCCCCCTGCTCGGTCCCGGGATCCTAAACTGTAAACGGCTCTGAGACGCCGTCCGGCGTGGAGGGCCCTATATAAATCCAAGTTGTTATTATTGTTGTTGTATGTGAACAGTTAGATTTAGATTGGACATACTTCTTTACACTGTTCTCACAGCTTTAAATAATCCAATAAAGGCAAAATGTGCAATCAATGCGTGTGCAGATCCTTCCAGACCACCTCCATCAATCTAATCCAAATAAATTCAATTTAATTGAAATTTACTTCTTGGATTATCTTCAAATTGCCTTGTAAAGATATGTAAAATTGCTGGGGGTTAACATCATATTCACCTCAATTCGACATATGACATATCTCTAAGCAGATGGGTGAGATGGTTGAAGGACTTCACTTCACATTACTTCTGCAAGAGTAATGGAAATCCCAAGGAAAATTAGAAAGCAACTCTGTACAATTTTAGGCCAAGAGGCAGTCACAAGAATAATACACCAGGATCATCAGAGTATAATGTTACCATTTAATTACATGTGTTTGTCTATACAAGTGGTCATATTTTATTTTTGAGGTATAATATAAGATCCCACTTTCAAACTTCAGTCTTGATTTTTTTCTTCTGAATCCTCTTCTCCCCAATGTTGATTTTGTCCGCTCTTGAAGGAACTAACTTTTGCTCCTGTACAGTTATGCACATGCTAGCAGCCTCTGATACCTTACCAAATGGCCATCACACCTTTACATGTGAGCCTAGATGGTGAATGTTGAAAGGTATTGAGCTACAGTGAGGTATCACAATTGAGCACAATCATGCCCGCATCTGACATCTACACAGACATATGTGGAGTGCGGGAAGAGGAGAAATCAATGACTGTAATTGATAGTGTGATACCAGTCCATTTCCCTTCCCATCAGGCTCTGATTAGGTACTATATCAAATGCAAGGACTATTGTCAAATATCACATAGAAGGATTATTAAAGCATTTTCATCAAACAAAGAGTCTGAAACAGTATTTTATGTAAGAGTGAGGTCCAGCAGATCACTCCTGCAATTACAGTACCCGGGATTCCAGCCATCAGCAACGGTGAACTTCATAAGTAAATCAACACGTACATAGAATCCGTGTTTGTCAAATCAGTCTTCACCATATGGATTATTTTCAAGAATATAATTCTTGCATTTGATACAGGTCCTTATCATATTGAACCAACTCAAAGGACAATAAGTTACTTTGAAATGCAGCGACATTTGTTTTGACGATAAGTGAGGCAGCTATTCTGCTCTGGCTAAGTCCTCTAAACAGAAATGTGGGATGTTGATCAACGAGTTTGATTTGTTTTGTTTGCAGAGGAGGGGGTGTAAATTTGAATAAGGAAAGAATCCTGTCAAAGACTCTTTTTTGCAAATAGTGCCATGCTACATTTAATGTCTATTTGATCTGACAAATGGAATTGCAGTTCAACATCTAATGCAACACAACTCTTTCCTTTTATTCAATCTTAGGTTGCTTCTTTAAAATATCTGCCTTCAGTACTTCATGATGTTGAGACAGTCTTCGATGTCAAGTTATTGAGGTAAGCAAGGAACATTCTCATTTTAATCAAAAGCTTGCAGTCCTAAAAAATGGCAGGACAGAGGTTGGCCAGTTTGCCCATCAGGCCTATACTGGCGCAAGCTCCTCTGTTTGAACTAATGACTTCAAACCGATGCCCTATTAGGTGTGATGGTCCTGGATTTGCAGTGGAAAGCTTGCTGGATGAGCATTTAATGGCAAGCTATGCAGTTATAGGCGGTTAATCTCCAGCCCTAACACGCACTCTGGGGTCCCCAGACCTTGGTTCTCACCAACCTCTGACCAATACTGTTCAGAATTAGATAAGTAGGGCGTGTTCTTCCAGTTAGAGAGTGTGCATTCCATTCCAGACACAGGCAAATTTCCACGTGAAGGGGTATACATATGTGAAACTCTTTCTGGTTTGGATACTCTTAAAAATGTTGATGGATTATCATTTGTGTCAGACATCAAATAATAATCTACTGTAATACTAATTCCTTGTTTATTTCCCAGGTCCTTCTACATTATTCTGCATCTTCTTTTTAAAAATCTAATTCCCTTTTAAATGAGATTGTAGTCAAATTTTCATTGTGAATGCAACAGATTTCATAATGTAAACAATCTAACTGCAGATTCCTGGTAACTGGAAGAATGTCACACCAATTTACGAGATCTTCATTCTGGGTGCAGATCAAGTGTGACCAAATTTCTGAGACTTAGAAATACAGTTCAATATCCCTGTGTTTTAGACTGCAAAAGTTATTTGTAGTTAAGTATGCTCCAATAACCCCCAGTGTGAAAAAATCAAATCTTCCATTTAATTTTTCCAGTGACTTTGCTGAGCTACTGCCTGCTGGCTATTGATTTACTAACCAGCAGGAATAATCTTTCACTGATTCAACTTTTGCAATAAATCAGAAATGTATGTGTAATGTACAGAAGAGCACATCACGTGGAAAACCTTTTATGGACTCAAGATTCTGGAAACTGCAGAAAGTACTTGTGTTTCTTTGATGCCTTTGAAAAGGTGACTGATAGATCTCAGTGGGTTCTCATTTTAAAATGTGAAGACTGGAGGACCCACTGTTTACAGGATAGTTTTTACACTGCACATGAACCTGACCAGCATAAGCAATGAGCGACAGTAATAAGAATTTCAAAAACAGTCTAAGAAATTCATGCACGACAGTAAGAGATTTGGCTTCTAGATTTATTTTACATTTTTTCTCTTCGAAGCTTTGGTGGGTTCAAAGGTTCAGTCTTGATCATTTCCCTACAACTTGCCCACATCAGAAATTGCTTTATTCAGTGCTTTATTGCTTAATTGGTTTATTCAACCAAGCTCATTGGTTATTAGCTATCCTAAGTATCTTCAGATGAGATTGAGGCAGAGTTTTCAGGTATTACTCCCCAAAGTTGGGGAGTAATACCTGAAAACATGGCTGCCAATGGTGGATTGGAAGGATGAAGGATATATAGAAAGCAGGAGTAAAGGGGGCGGGTGATGGAGTGGTGTGTAAGCAGGTCGGAGAGGTAGGGAGGTGCTAGGGCATGATCAGTGTGAGGATCTTGAAATCAATCTGTTCTGCAATATGGAGCCAGTGGAGCCTGAAAGGAATGTGGTGCTTAGTTTCCTTTTGTGCCAGATACCCAGCTGACCAAATAAAAGAGACGGAGTGCAGCTCTGTGCAAGGTGGGATATGAGGAATATGAGGATGTTGACCAAAAGCACAGTCACAAAGAGAGGTTTTCTAGGAAGATTCTAAACACACGGAGAAAGGCCATAAGGCAAGTGCTATTTTGAGAGTTGCAGAGAGCAGGATCATCATACGTGAAAGGTGCCATCAAGGGTGAAAAGCGTTTGGATGAAGAATTGTTTCCTAATCTCACTTCTAACTGTCTTACATCTAGTTTGAGACCGTGTCCCCTTGTTTTGGATCCTTCCACCAAGCTATTATTGAGCTTGTTGATTCTTAAGACATTGCCTTTAACTGCGCTCAAGGCAACAGTAAAACTTTCTTGCACTTCAGCCAAGTTTACAGTCTTCTTTGTTTGAGTCCTGAACCAGCAAACATCATCAGGTTAATCCTGAATTAGTGGCTGCAATGATGAATATCTGTGTTTGTGCGTTTTTTCTCTGGAACCTATACATAGGGATCTCTAGTGGAGTCCTGTAGCTCAGTGGTTAGAGCACTCGCTTTGCAAGCGAGAGACCTGAGTTCAATTCCAGGCAGAGGGTGAAACCTTGGGCAAGTTTCCTTACTCCATACAGAGCCCATAATAATCCCTCCAAAACCAAAAACAATAATAAATTGATCATTTTCAATCTGCGACTGTTTGTGGGACATTGCTGTGCGCAATTGGCTGCCGCGTTCGCCCACAAATATACAGTCAATTCACTTTACAGTGTGTTCTGTGAAGCGCTTTGGGACGTCCTCCCGACGTGAAAAGCGCTATATCAAATGCAAGGATTATTATTATTATTATTATCTGGTTGATGATCAGAAGCAGGAACCCTGGCTGACTATCTACTCCCTATCCAGACGAACAATTAAACCTGGTTGCCTTCCTGGTCTTTGTGACCCTCTCCCTCACTGGGCAGTGCCTGCATCCACTAAGCCATCGAGGGAGCCCTGAAAAAATTATTAAATTAATAATAACATTGAACGATGAATACTTACAGAAATGAAGGTTTCCATGGAAATGGAACATAGATGGACAAAATTTGCAATATTCACAAAACAAGCGATTGTACTTTCTGAAAACTGTCAAGTTTATAAAAAGGGTAAAGCTCCATCTCTTCATGACATCTGATTTGCCCTCTAGATTTTTTTTTTGCATTTTTACAGCTTTTGGAAATCCTATATTTTATAAATATAGGAAATAGGAAATTTATAAGGAAATTAAATTAAATTAAATTAAATGGAGGTTGGAATTAAAAATGTTCCAGCTCCGTTGCAAATATCGCAAATCAATTTGGATACTGGCTTCTATTTATTTTCCTCTCTTCTAAGGCAGAAGGTTGTGGTTTCAAGCTTCATATTAGGACTTAAACTCATAGTCATAGCTGATACATCAGTGGAGGATGGGGGAGTTCTGAATTGTCAGAGGTTTCTTACTTCAGATTAGATGTTAAACTGATCTGATCACGTAGTTATTAATGATCCTATGAAGGATAAAAAGGACCATTTCGCCTGGTTTCCTGGCCAACAATCCTTCAAATAAATTGACCACTCACCTCATGGCTGTTAGAAGGACAGTGGCCTACACAGTCACGATGATCAACAGTAATTACCTGTGAAACACTTTAAGACATTTTGACGTTAAAGGAGCCACAGTACAGCAAATCCAGGAATTATCATTATTTCTTTTCTCTTTCGTCTGCAGCCAGCTCCTTTTGGAATTCTACACCAGCATTGCTCCTGACAAACTACACAAGCAGAAAATCCAGTCGCTGACAGAGATTGTGTCCAGCAAACTCTTCCAGAAAAAAGGTGAGGCAGGAGATAGCATACAGCAGCATCTGCACGGTGCATTGGATATCCGATTTGCAGATTGTCATGTTAGACTGCTGGTTTGTGGAATACTCGATTAATTAAACAAAGGGAAATTAAAGTGCCCCCTTGCTATAGTCAGGAAGGGGATGGGACCTCAATTGACTTTGATGATAGCACTAAAAGAAACGCCACGAGCAGTAGTCCTTGGGTGACAGGAAACGTTTGTGCCTTCAGGAAAAAAGGAGAAAAAAAATGTATGTTGGTGAGGAGAGGGGAAAGGGAAGGGGGCGGAAGGGAGGGGAGGGTGAAAGTGGGAGTGGGGAAGGGAAGTGGGGAAGAAAAAGGAGAGAAACACACTTTGCTTTTTTTTGACGTCCTGATATTGAAAGACAGCATATAAATATAAACTGTATTGTATTTCAAATTATGGAGAATGTGGTTTTCTTTACGCTTCAATATATTTGTCATATTAAATATTGATCTAGTTCCTGATAATAGAAAAATCCTTCTAACCCCCCAATCTGCCAAAGGCTGCAGTGAAATATTTGGAAATTGAGATGCCTTCAAATTTCTACATCATCTACATAATAGCTTCAGCTTGAAGAAGAATGGAATACTTTTGTACCACATTTTAGGGATCAAACATCTTATTTAGAATGTAATTGCTCCTGTAAATCATCCTGTAAAATGCTTGGCGATGCAAAGGAGAAAACAACTATAAGAAATATTAGTGGCTGTGATTTAACATACAAGCAGTCTGAAATACGACATAACAAGCAAAACAAAATCCAAATTATATTCCAAGAGACAGGATCATTCAATTGTCAAATCTGGTTGAGTTTGATAGTTTCCGGAGATTACATTTAATAACTGTAAAGATCATGATCATGGCCAACTAAGGAACATGGGTCCTTTGGATAAGAGGACAACTTTGATCAGCAAAGATGAATTTACAATTCAATACCATTTACATTTACACGGCACCTCTCATTTTGGGAAGACATCTCAAAGCCCTTAACACTGGTTAACACTAGGCCTCTTACAGAGGTTGCAGTCAATCAGGGGAAAGCGGGTGTGAGAGACAAAGGTATACATCTCTGTATACATTGAGGCTTTGTTGTAAAAATATTTGCATAAACAGAGCTAAGTGTAGTCAGTTATTCAGATCCAGTTTTTGTCAGACACCTGCAACTCTGCAACGTAGTCCTGTAGCTCAGTGGTTAGAGCACTCGCCTTGCAAGCAAGATAGTTGGGTTCAATTCCAGGCAGAGGGCGAAACCTTGGGCAAGTTTCCTTACTCCAAACGCCTAATAATAATCCCTCCAAAAAAGCAAAACAATAATACTCATTTGTACTCATGTACAACCAATTGTACTCGTAATAGTAATTGGTCATTTTCAATCCATGACTGTTTGTGGGACACTGCTGCGCGCAATTGGCTGCCGCGTTTCGCCCACAGATATAGTCAATTCACTTTACAGTCTATTCTGTGAGGCGCTTTGAGACGTCTAGAAGACGTGAAAAGCACTATATCAAATGCAAGGATTATTATTATTATCAGAATAAACCTAATCCTCAATATTTGTTGCTGAATGAAGAATACAAATGTCTAGCAAGCTACAAGGAAGCCAATGTAAAAGAGTTTACAAAGGGTTGTGGGAATGTAGCTAGTGTTGGTAGCACTCCCACCTCAAGGTCAGAAGATTACCAGTTGTCAGAAATTTGAACTTATGGTCTTGGCTGGCACACTAGTACATAATTGGGGAATCACAGTGTTGTTGGAGGTGATGTTTTTTCGATGAGACATTAAACTGAAGTTCTATCTGCATGTTCAGGCCTCAAGTCATCAAAAGTCATGGACATGAGTGAGTGTTAAAAAGATTNAAAAAAGACACAGAGGGAGAGAGAAAGGGAAACAGAAATTTAAGTCAGAGAAAGAAAGAAAAAGGGAGTGTCAACGTGAGAAAGGGCTTGCACAGTGTGGCACTATAGTGACAGTATAATCTTGATAGAGTTTTGTAATTAACACTGTAGTCGATTTGTATTGTGCTTAATGTACAGTATGCTTATCCACAATGGCTTAGCGCAAGTAAATGGCTGTGTATAATATGTTCTAAAGAGTTTCAATGAACACAAAGCTCTCTTGGACCAATGTACTAACTCCTTGGTGATTGCTCTGGTTGATCTATTCCAAGCTGTTCTGGACCATTATGCTCACCTCTCTGTGCTTGTCAGTGCATGTAGTTGCTACCCTTATATCCCAATTGACTTTATCAGTCAGCAATGATAAAGGGAACGTTGCAGGTGCCTCATGGGAATCCACTGTAATGAGCAGAGTTGCTCCACGGCCTGGAGGTAACTGGTAACTCATCCCTCAATATGTTAGAGGGTAATGATGATAAATATCTCAGGCAGGCCACTAGTGAAAGGCGAATGTGTGCAATTACCTGTAGCTAGTGATAACCGTTTAATCCACAGATGGCACTGTTTGGAAATCTATAGATTAACCACTGGGCTAGTAACACAGTAACTGCACTTTACAGTACATCCTTTGAAGCGCTTTGGGATGTCCTCCTGAAATGAAAGGTGCTATATCAAATGTAAAGTTTATTATTATTGGAGGAGCTAGGAGAACATGTTAGAAAGATTTTTTTATACACAGCAACTATAACATCTCAAAGTTGTTTACATTTATTATTGACAAATATAGTGATGTATTTTATAGGTAAATGTCCCACAAACAAGCATGAGGTGGATGACCAATTAATCTGGATGATTGTTGGTCAAGACACCATGACACCATAAAAAAAACTATCATGGGATCTTTAACATCTATCTGAATAGGAGGCAGGACTTCAACAACAAGAACTTGCATTTATATAGTGCCCTTCACGCAAGTAACATCCCGGACCTTAAGTTAACATATCACCTAAAGGACAGTATCTCTGACAATGCAGCATTTCCCCAGCTCCCACAGTCCTTGATTGGGGTCTGATTCTAGACTACGAGTTAATTATCTTGATATGGGCATTGAACCCAAAATCTTCTAACCTAGAGGTGACAAAGCTACCAACAGAGCTGAGCTGATACAAGACAATATAATACTGAGCATGCACAAATAATTGAAAAAAAAATGCATTTTGAAAGTACATATTCCAAGAAATAGCTAAAAGCCTCTGTGGGCACAAGTCTCCATCACTAAAAACATCAGCTGTTTGTCTATTGTACTCGTAATAGTACTTTGCTTTATTCTGAATGAAAGGTAGAGCGCAGTCCAGAAGAATCAAATGATGGATGACAGTCCAGCGTTCTCGTGTGATATCCACTCTGTTTACTGTGATGAGTCTGAAAAATTGGGGGGAAAAGTGACGCTTTAAAGAGAAATGGTTCAATAGATTGGTTGAAGCCTGTGGGGTTTATAATTGTGCTGCAGGTGAAGCCTGAAGGTCACTCCAATCATGCTCTTGAATATTGATTTTGAAGTTCTGATTTTTGCAGAAGAAACAAAAGCAGCAACAAGCTCATCACTAAATCTGCCCACAGTATTCTTATTTATAAATAATGCTTGCAACATGCTTGTTTCAATGCTGGGATCAAAACTGATGTGTTTCTAAACACATTATATACTTTATTTATTGCAGTTCATTAAACAAGATCTATCAATGGAAACTCCCCTTAATGGGGCTGAATATCCCTGATTTGGGGAGAATATTGTCTCTCACCCTTTCCACAGCCTCTTGTTATTAAAATTATTGAGGCCCAAAGTATCCCCAGCCTTTACAATGGCTTTTGAATATTAACTTCAGCTTTTTAACGTTAATGTTACTTTTAAGCCAGTATTTGGCAAAAAGGCAGGAAATTCGTGCTTTCCACAGCTCAGTTAGAGACTCCCCAAACAGTTCCAAACCCAGCCTTGAAGAGAGATTTAAAAGGATACATTTTTAACTGAAATTTCTGTTCAGTTCCTTGATTATCATATCGGAATATAGAAATGTTGACCCCTTTATTCTTCTTTTGTATGACAAATTGGCCTGTCAGCTTCATAAAAGGAAATAATACTTGCATTTGATGCATTTGTTTTATCACGTCAAAATACCTTCAAGTGCTTGACATAAATTACTATTGTAATAAGTGTTATTTAGGCAAACACAGCAGCTAATTTGCTCCAGCAATATCTCCCACACACGAATGAGATGAATGCCAAATTAATCTGCTTGGGATACATTTGGCTGATTCTTGGATTCAGTCTGAATTTGGAAGCTGTTTTTCTGCAGTTCTTAAGATTTGTCTTTTTTTTGTTTGAATTGTCCGTAATTCTGCGTGACCTTGAATTTTAAGATCAAATGGTCTTGCATTTGGTTAAAACTGGGTGGAATTTCAGAACTCTAGATTTGACAACACACCATTCGCACAGTATCTATGAATCCTGGAGGAAACTAGTTATGTGTCATGCTGACCTGTTTAAACAACAGTCTTCATCTATCTCCGTCTGGGCTTGCTAGAGCAGAATTTAGTGTGACACATATCTAATTGCTGACAGGATTCAATATGCATTCGCCTGCACAGTAACTCGATTTCACAATAATTTCTGTGAAGCTTTTTGGGATGTCCTCCCGATGTGAAAGGTGTTATAGCAAATGCAATGATTATTATTATTCGTTTACTATTTGTGAAATCCTCTATGTTTCCATGCTATATCATGCAATGCTCACCTCTGTTCTTACGTGCTGGACTTTCCAAACCATGTGGCTGTCCGTGTCTTCTGCAGAATGTCGAGACATCCTGCTTCCAATGATGACCAATGACCTGAAAGTGCTGCTGGAGCAGAAAGATGAACAGCAACAGAGCCTGGTACTCAAGTACTGTGTTGATCTCCTTAACAACATCCTGCAAGTCCTGAGCCAACCAGGCGTGGTATGTATCGTTTACACGCATGACTGCTTTCTTATTTCCTTTGTGCCATTTTAAAGCAGGTCTCCCCCAGCATTGCACTGGACTGTCAGCCTAGACTATGAGGTCCAAGTCCCAATGTGATTCTTGAAACCACAGCCTTTTGACTCAGAGGAGAGAATCCTACCAACTGAGCCAGGCTGTACCAAATTCTTTTGGGAAGTATTGATTATTTCTCCTGATCTTTCGTAATGAAACTCAAGCTTACAAAAATGGTGTTTTAGTTTGTTGGTTTCTCTTGCGAGCTTAATACCATTTCTTTTTGTGAAATTCGCCATTAGATTTCAATAACACAGATGTCAAACTAATTTTGCATCATTATTTCTTGATGAGAACACATTGGGATTCACTAACACTGACTCAGAGGCACTAACAGGGAATTTTGCCAGTAACCAGCCAACTCAGGGGAACCATGTAATTTATTTCCATTGATTCTAAGTGGCAATCTCACAAGTTGGCTGTGATGTACTGCCACTAGCCCTCCCTTGAGCTGCTATTAATGAATCTCCGATTGCGCACCACCACATTGCATGGCTTCCAATTACTCTTATGTTGCTGAGACAACAACAACAAACATTTGGATTTATATAGCGCCCTTCACGTGGAGTAGGGTCACTGTTGTGAAGATGAAGAAATATATTTGAAGTTTTGATCATTTGCCTTTGGGGATTCCGAAGCACATATGTAGAAGTTTCCTTCAGAATGTTAAACAGATTGGGATGCAATTTGTGACGGAGTAGTTGGCCCACAGTTGATGGGTCAGATAGCCTTATCTCATTCCATAGTTTCTTGTGAACAGAAAAGCGGGTGCTGTTTAAGAATTAATATCCAGAAAGTTCAGTTAGTTGGAACCGGATTTGAAGCACAAAATTCAGGGTTTAAATCCTGGTAGATCCTCTCAATGGATGAAACTGCTCCAAGTAGACCCTGGGCCAGGGAGCATTGCATTAACCAAAGGATGAATTTGTAAGTGTAGACATGCCCCAAACTATGAGACAAAGTAATGGTAATCAGCTACTGTTACTACCATCACAAAGCATACAGCATGTTTGGTTTCTAGTTTAGTCCACATTCCAGATTCCTGTGGGGGCAACTTCGGGCCTGGTTCATCACTCTATTGATTCGCCCACAATATACACAATCACTACACTTCACAGTGTAATAATAATAATAATAATGCTTGTATTTGATATAGCGCTTTTCACGTCTTCTCAACGTCTTCTCAAGTGCTTCACAGAATAGACTGCAAAGTGAATTGACCGTATATTTGTGGGCGAAACGCAGCAGCCAATTGCGCACAGCAGTGTCCCACAAACAGTCGTGGATTGAAAATGACCAATTTATTATTTTTTTTGTTGTGGAGGGATTATTATTATTAGGCGTGTGGAGTAAGGAAACTTGCCCAAGGTTTCGCCTTGCCTGGAATTGAACCCAGGTGTCTTGCTTGCAAGTTGATTGCTCTAACCACTGAGGTACAGGACTCCACTGTGAAGTGATTTGAGATGTCGCGAAGATGTGATAAGGTGCTATAGCAAATGCAAGGATTATTATACATTAGACCTGTACCTCAGTGGTTAGAGCACTCGCTTTGCAAGCGAGACACCTGGGTTCAATTCCAGGCAGAGGGCGAAACCTTGGGCAAGTTTCCTTACTCCACACACCTAATAATAATAATCCCTCCAAAAACAAAAACAATAATAAATTGGTCATTTTAAATCCAAGACTGTTTGTGGGACATTGCTGTGCGCAATTGGCTGCCGCGTTTCACCCACAAATATACCGTCAATTCACTTTACAGTCTGTTCTGTGAAGCGCTTTGAGACGTCAAGAAGACGTAAAAAAAGCGCTATATCAAAATGCAAGGATTATTATTATTATTACTCAAGGATATTGAAGAGACTTTAAGGTCCCTTTTAAAAGAATAGTTTCTGTGTGGTGGGAACAAATTGGCCCAGTTTGCAAGAGGTTCTTCCAATTCGACAAAAATGAGTAGAGCTTCGAATGTGCTTTTGCATCAAATGTTTATGCGCAGTTAATTTGTATGCAAAAAAATCCAATTAAAATTGATGGTGCTAATTAAGCTAATGGCTGACGTGTTCTCCTACTTAACAATGTTGCATATCATATGCAAGTGATTTATTTACTTATTTCAGGATCATCACGCTTTTGAGTGGTTCAATAATTAAGTCCCATATGCCTTGTAATTCAGGTAGACATTAAGAAACACCCTTCTCCCTCCCCGAACAACATTTCAAGGAAAATCTGAGCTTTTCTCTCGTTTGTTCTGAGATTTATTTCCTCCTCGTGAAAATTCAGCCCCCAAAATTCAAATCAACTGTCCAATTTACCTTGTTGTTGTTTGAAGGACATTTCTGATGCTAATTAGCTGCCACATTTGCCTGCATAACAACATTCAATTCATTTCAAATTAATCTCATTCTGTAGTGCTTTATCACTTTCCTTCCATTCGAAGGTTGCTATATAAATGTAAGTTGTTTTAAATGATAGGCAGCTCAAGGCTGGATACATCCTGTGTACACTACTTGGGAGGGAGAGCCATGGGATGAATAAATAAGCCATTTTTGTTTTGTTAGTAGATACTTAGTGTGTCCTTTCCCCCCAAATCTGCGCCAGGACCAGCACTGCCTACCACCACCACCGCAATACTGTCAGACTCCGCCACTGCCTCAGCCCTCAGGCTGCCAAATCCCTCACCCATACATTCGTCACCTCAAGGCTTGGTTACGGGAACTCTCTCCTCATCGGCCTTCCCAAATCTTCCCTTCACAAGCTGCAGATCATCCAAACCTCTGCAGCTCGTGTACTCTCACTCACCAAGTTTCGTGACCCTATCACTCCCACCCTCACCCAACAACACTGGCTCCCCATCCTCCAGAGGATCGAGTTCAAGATCCTCGTCTTCACCTTTAAGGCCATCCATGGCCTTGCCCCCTCCTACCTCTCTGACCTGCTGACTCCCTACCAACCTGCCCGCTCCCTCCGTTCATCGGGCTCCAGTTTGCTCCAAGTCTCCCGCCCGACCCACCCTACCATCAGTGGCCGGGCTTTCAGCCTCTCTGCCCCCACACTCTGGAACTCCATCCCACAATCCCTCCACCTCGCTTCCTCCCTTGCTTCCTTCGAGGCCAGTCTCAAGACCCTTCTCTTCGACTGTGCCTTTGGACTCCCTCCCACCTCTCTACCTTCCTACAACACCCCTCCCCCATGCTCGGGCCCCAACACCTGACTGTTCAGCGCTTTGGGATGTCCTCCCGACATGAAAGGCGCTCTAGAAATGTAATCTTGTTGTTATTTTGTTGTTCTTATCTCAGCATGGCATATTCATTATTAACTAATCTGCAATCTATAAGCATCTGCTCCACTTAACAAGAATAGAGTAAAAATATGGTCTTTGTGTTTTGAGCCACACTTAGAGCTGTAGATGGAGATTTCCAGTCAACAGCAGTAATGGCCAATGGATCCAAATGGAAGAGTTGCAATAACTCAAAGAAAGAGCATTTTATTGGCAGCACTAGCAGAATTTTCAATTGCAATAAATGAGAAAGTTGCCAAATTTTCTGTTGACGTTTCTGTATTAAAACTCTATTATGTACAACTTGCCTCACTGTACGTGCTTTTCCGGGGGTAATAATCCCTTCAAAAAAAAATGTGATCACTTTAATCCATGACTGTTTGTGGGACACTTCTGTGTGCAATTGGCTGCCGCGTTTCTCCCACAAAATATGTAGTCAATTCACTTTCCAGTATATCTTGTGAAGCGCTTTGAGAAGTCTCGAAGACATGATAAGGCATTATATCAAATGCAAGGATTATTATTATTATAACTCTAATTAAACTTGCTGCAGGGAATGTGGCTTCTAATTATTTTAGAAGTTTTTTGCTCTCCTCCTAGTCACCTTCCCTGTGACTTGATCTCCCAAATAGATGTGAAACAAATGCTGATGGTGCTCAGCGAGCATGCAGACACCTAGTATAAAACTGAGCCAGATTCTGGGCCAGTCGAGATGCCCATTTCACAGTGAATGCAAATGCGAACAAATATCTGCCACAGCAGTTTTACGACTAATTTCATTCCATTTTCAGCACCAGGCAAAAGCTTTATCTACTTGCAGCTGCTAATTAAGAGTGAAAGCAGATCACCTACTCATTCCCAGATATATCCCAATAGATTTCTTCAATTCGTTTTTAACAAGCATCTAATTTCTTGGCTGATGCATTGGCTAGCCACAATTGTACAACAACAAACTGGCTATGACTATTTGGGAATTTGGAGACTGTAATTACCTTTAGTGACGAATAGGGAGATCAGGTTATAGGGTGGATATTCAATGCTATTTGGTAATATTACAGACTTTGGTGATGCAAGATTACTTCGGAAAAGCATGATGGAAAAGCGTGAAAAACCGCAACGTAACTAATCAAAGAAATAACCTGAATCCAATGCTTTAGACACATTGTCTAAGCCATCTCCAAACATTTATAATTAGAAAGCCGATTTTTAAAATATTATCAAAAAAAGTCACAGACCTAACAGGATGATTGTAAGTAAACTACAGAAAATTGAAGTTAGTCAACATTTCATTCCCCTTAAAACATTACATTCAAAGGCTGTCTTTTGCCCATGTCCAGTATTACGCTGGAGTCCTGTAGTTTAGTGGTTAGAGCACTCGTCTCGCAAGCAGAGGACCTGGGTGCAATTCCCGGCAGGGCAAAATGTTGGACAAATTTCCTTACACCACTCGCCTCTGATTACCTAGCAGTAAATAGGAACCTGGTTGTTAGTCAATTGGCAGATCACTTTTCCGGGGGTAATAATCCCTCAAAAAAAAATTAGTCACTCTATCCACGACCGTTGGACACCTCTGTGAGCAATTGGCTGCCATGTTTCGCCTACAGAGTACACAGTCAATTCACTTTGCAGTATATTCCGTGAAGCGCTTTGAGACGTCTCGAAGACGTGATAAGGCGTTATATCAAATGCAAGAATTATTATTATTAATACACTGTTGATTTCCGCTGCTTGGTTATTAGAAACACAGGGGCAAAGGCCCACCCGAAGAGTTAAGGGGATGGTCAGAAGCAATATTTTAACATAGTGGGTTGTTGAAGCTATGGCCATAACAATAATTATTAGAAGTTGGATAATTATTTAAAGAGAAACAATATACAAGGTTCCAGAGAGAGACTGGGATTAGAATAGATAGCTCCATTGGTGAAATTAGAGGCAGCATAGGCTGATGATCTGAAATTTGTGTAATTCTGTCTTTGAACCACAGTTAAGTGTCAGTTTGACTCAATGGATATCATGTACCCCACTGGATTGGGTTCAATCCCTAAAAAAGGATTTAAGCATGCTGACATTTGCATTGCTCTACAGTATCAGCCTTGGCTATGATTGAGACTATGAGGTTCTCCTGATTGGCTCCCATCAGCACCTCCACACCTCAGGTGCTGAAAGCGTCATCATCCATGGATGCACGCTCCACCTTATTAAGCCAGTCTGAAACATTGGCGTCCTGTTTGACCCTCAACTATCCTTTCTACCCCACATGTGTGCCATGACCTGCTCTGCCTTCCCCCACCTCCGCAATATCGCCCAGCTCCACCACTGTTTCACACCGCAGATCGCTGAACCCTCATACACCCTTTCATTTCATCGAGGCTTGACTATGCAAACTCCTTGCTTGTTGGCCTCCCCAAATCCTCCTTCCATAGGCTGCAGATCATCCAGAACACAGCAGCCCATGTCCTCTCCCACACCCGGCTCTGGGACCCTACCATCTCCATCCTCTCCCGCCTCCACTGGCTTCCCATCACACAGAGGATACGGTTTAAGATCCTGGTCCTCACTTTCAGAGCCCTCCATGGCCTTGCTCCACCCTACCTCTGCGAATTCCTAATCCCCTACCATCCAGTCCACTCCCTCCGCTCAGCGGGCTCCGACTTGCTTCACGTCCCTGCCTAGCCCACCCCACCATTGGTGGGCGGACCTTCTGCCATTCTGCTCCCACCCTCTAGAACTCCATCCTGCAGTCCCTCTGCCTCACCCCCTCCTTTGCCTCCTTCAAGATCCATCTGAAGAGCCTCTTCTTTGACTGTGCTTTCGATCCCCCCCTGCTCTCTCACTGCCCTCCACCCTCCCCAATCCCAACCTCCAGGTCAGGTCTGAAACACTGACTGTCCAGTGCCTTGGGATGTCCTCCCGACATGAATGGTGCTATACAAATATAATTTTGTTGTTGTTGATCTAGACTGGCATCTAGGGAAGCTTTGTATTGCAGAAGATTCCATCCTTTGCTGGAGGCATTAAAAGGTCCGGTCTATCTGATCACGTCCCGTCTATCTAGATGTTAAAGATTACATAACACTATAGGAAAAGACAATGTAGTTTCTCGCATTGTCCAGGCCAACAATTGACAAGATAGAAAGGTTATTCAGTTCATGGCTATTTGTGGGACATTGCTGTGCACAATTAGGTTTTTGCATCTCCCCAAAAATCCACAGTCATTGCAATTTACAGCAATCACTTGTTAAGTGCTTTGAAATTGTCTGACATTACAGGCATTATATCATAAGCAAGGAATATTATCATGTTGTTGCATCTCAAAGTACTTCAACAGATAATTACTGTTAATGAAGTAACTGTTTTTGTTGGCAAGTATGGTAACCATCTGAGTCATCAAGGCCCCACAAGGAGTCAGGTGAATGATCAATTAATCTGGAGGATTATTGACCAGCACATTAGGACCTTCTCTTTCGGATTAATGACCTGCGATCTTTAATATCAACCTGAATACGCACAAACTCAGTTTAAACTCTTATCTGAAGCATGGTCTCATCCATGAGTTTACATCGCTAAATAGGACTTGAACTCACAAGGGACTGTTCTGGAGCTGCTGGCTGGCATGATTTTAAAAAACAGATGTAGGAAAAAAGAGAAACTGGAAGGGGTAAAAACACAAAGGAATTAATTTCCCGTACTGAATTCCCTGTACTGCCTACAACTAAAATACATTTTTGTAGTAAAAATAATCATAGGCTTCAAAGAAAGAACACAAAGCCTTTGAAATATCTTTGTAATCTAATTGTGCATTTATAATCATGTATATTTACCAAATGTATTTCACTTAAACAAATAGGAAGATGACAGCAGCACCACAGTCACTCAGATAAGATGTACTTACAGCATTCTAATCACTGTCTGGATGCATTGCTTTATTTAAACAATATTGGGCTCCAGTTTAGCCAGAGGAGACCTGATTAAATCCTGTTTGGAGTTAACATAGGACAGTGGTTTAACAGAAAACATTTGTTTACTTCTATAATTGTTCTCGAGGGTAAAGACTAACAGTGCCCAAAAGCCTGGATTTTACTGTTATCTTAGCTCTACAAATAAATATCTATTCCCCAGCAACCAGCCTGTAAGAGTGAAGAACAAGAACTGGACAGCTACACATTTATTGACCAGTTATTGCTGGGAACAACTCTGACTAAATATTGTGGGGCAGAAGCAAGAATAATAAAACAATAATAAATAAGAAGCTTATTGCTCTGCTGCACATTTACTTGGATGGACTTTGTATAAAAAACAGGGAGAATGAGCAAGGTGGGAATAGTGTTCATCCTATAAATTTATGTGCAATACAATCTGTACTCCTGACGTGAAAGGCACTATACATATATAATTTTGTATTGGATTGGACTGTAATACAACACACTTGAGACTCAATAATGCTGATGCTCCACTCTGTTTTATTAATGTATTAATGTTCATTTGTAGAAAATTCTTCAATATATTTAAAGGAGAATCTAGCAATATTTGATGTGTGATCATTAAAACACAAAAAAAATCATAGAATGTAGGAAGAGGAGACGATTCAGTCTGTGGGGTCTGCTCTGCCATCTTACCAGATTATAATGATGGGAATCGACATTTAATAAACAGTAACAATGAAGGCCTAATTAGAAATGCATTTATGAATTAAAACTACATTTTGCAAATCTTAGATCAGGGATAATAATAAATAACAAGAATCCTTGAATTTGATATAGCTACATCGTCGAGATGTCTCAAAGCACTTCACAGAAAATGTAGTAAAGTGGAATAACTGTGTATTTCGTGAGTAGTCGTGAATTGAGTGACCACATTTTGGAGCGATTGTTACCTCCAGAAAGTGATCCACCAATCGACTATCAACCGGGTTCTTACTTACTGCTAGGCAAACAGAGGCAACATGCAATTGCCCCACAATCTGCAGACTTCAAGCCCAGGTTTCTTATAGCCTTAGCCTTAAAATCAACGTTCTCAAAACTTAAGACTGGTACCGAATATGGGACTGGTACCAAATCTGAAACATCAAACACTTTAATTTACATCTTCAAAGGTTTAAGCAGAGATACTTACATCTGATTATGTGATTAAAATTAACGTCACACAGGATAGGAATGTGCTTATATGATGGGTTCCCAAATGTATCTATTTTCAGTCAGTATAAATCATTTGAGAGGATTCACATGGCATTAATTGCAATGCATCTTTTTCAACTGTGTGCTTTGTTTCACCTTCCAGGGTGCGACTTCTGGTCATCTTCAGGAGATCATAATCAAGCTTCTGAGGACTGTGAACAAGACAGTTATTAACATGGGACGAGATCACAACCTGATTGTAAGTAATTATACAGGGTCTGATGTTCTCTTAGTGGGAGTCTCTCAACCAGATGAATTTGTGCAGCGCTTTGAGACATTATCATTCATGAAGACTATATATTCATGCAAGTTGTATGTTGTATATCTCAAAGAGGCGAGGGAGGGAATCGGAGGGACTCTGGGATAAAGTTCATCCATTTGGTTGATACTGTCAGTGCCTGAGTTGAGAAGGTACTGTTGTTGGAGTGTGCATCCCTTTGCAAGCGCATGTTAACCTTTTCCTGACAAGAGCATCTCACATGCCAGTGCCACTGCCTATGACTGATCTGCTGGTAAGTAAGGAAAACACAACCAAAGTGTTTTTTTTTTAAAAATAATCATTCCTCAACTATATTTCACAGCTCTATTCAATAAGATACAAACAATAGTTTTTTTCTGTACAGTAATATACAAATTTCATCTCAATCCCACTCACACACACACACACAGAAATACAGGACTCAGTGCTGCACTCAGTAAATTCATACTCATCGTTCACTCTCACACTTTTCAAAATAAACATTTATATTTTCACACCTTCTTACAAGCGTGTCACTGCATTTCAGTTTGGCAAGCCACAGACATAAAGTGCACTTCTAGTCTTGTAGCATCCAGTCTGCAAGTCACTGCTGTGCATACATTGCTCTCTCTCTTTGCATCCAGTGAGTACACTACCATCCAAGGTGTTTTTAGATGAATCAAGTAAGCTGGTCCCAATTGCCCTTCTTTGCAACCATTCCAGTAGTTAATTATCCTCTCGGTAAATAAATACTTTATGGTGTCTGTTCTGAAGTTGCTGTTTGCCAACCTGAATCTGTGCCATCTTGTGCTGCTGCAAGTATTGTTTTCACTGTGTTTGGGTTCACTGTCTCAATCCTAGATTCCAATTTACGATCTTGATTACCTTGATAAAGTCTGCGCTTTCAAGACTAAATAGTTCTAACTTGACTAATTATTTATCATAGTTCTGCTACCCTGCATGGAGGGCACTATATAAGTGCAAGTTGTTGTTGAAATTAATTTGTTTCATTTCGTTAACAAAACACAGTCAAAAACATTTTTACAGTATATCCTTTGAGACACATCAAATGCAAGGATTATTATCATTACTATTATTTCACTAACAATGGGGATCCCCATTGCTCTCTCATGTACTGCCTCTAGGACCTTGGTCTCCTGTTTCAGGACTTTCCACAGATCTCCAGATGTGGCCTGACCAGAAACCTATCCACTTGAGCATGACTTCTGGGGATTTGAGCTAAAATGATTGACAAGTTAAAAAAAATTACATTCAATTTCACACTTTTCACATTGGAAAGTTATCTCAAAGCATTTCACAGGATTTACTGTAAAATGTAGTGACTTACGCTATGTAGGCAAACACGACTGCCATCTTGCACAAAAGAATGTTCAACAAATGGCCCTAAATTAAATGACCAATTTTATCTAAGAGATTGTTGCAGGACACTAAGAGAAACTCCCTTCTCGTGTTCAATAGCACTATGGAATCTTTAACTTCCACTTGAAAAGTCGTACGTGATATTGGTTTAACATCTCATCTGAATGATTGCACCTCCAAAATCCCCAGCACTGCACTGGAATTCAGACTAGATTATTATGAGTCCTAACTTGAGGCTTGAAGCTACACTCCTTGACTCACAGTTGAGAGAGCTACCAACTGAGCCAGTCTGACATGTAAACTATCTTGTATTCATCTGTATTGAATTTATATGTACCCATCAGCTCATATATACCTTATTACCTTGTTTTTGATCATGGCTTTAACTCAATCGTTTGAAGTGGAACTCAAGTATAGCTCTGGCATCAGAAACAAAAATCGCAGTCTGCTGGCATCAATCCAAGATGCTGGCGCTGAAAATCTAAGAGCCAATTTTAGATCCAAGCACTGAGCAGAAGTTTGGGGGTGGAGGGACATTTAGAGTGTCTTTAATCTTAGATACAGAAATGCAATGAGAATAATTATTGGAATCTGTCATGAAAAATTGCAATTGGATCCTGTGATTGAGGAGTGATACCGGCAACAAATCAAGATAATGATCAATTTTATTTTTTCCCCTTCTATCCTGAAACCATTGACTTGTGCTGTAGTATGGTTCCACAACACTGGCTGCTCTCAGTACCTCTCCCAAGTGGACTTTAATCATGTAACAGCCCCTGTCAGTGAGTGTTGAAAGGTTATTTAACCACTGTGCAAGGTGCAGAGGGAGAAAGATCACAGCAGACCCTGATCCTATCCTTCTTATCCTTCTTGGAAGTCATTGATGAGTGACGAGGAATATAAGCCCTAGCTGATTTTCTTCCTTTAACCCAGAGGCCAACTGCAGCCCCAACTATAAGTATTAACCATCGCCGGTACATTACAAAGCAAACACAATGCTGAATCAGGTGTATAAATCACACCTTAAAACATGATCATAATGCCTGCAGCACAACTTGTAAGCCAGTGTAACTCAAAATGTTTTAACTGAAGAGGCAATGATAATATCAGAGAGCGATAGATACAGAGGAACACTTTGTACACTGGATAGCTACAAGAACGGTATGAAACTGTACCGCTAAATATCGTAAAAAGCATAACAAGAACAGTAATTAAAGATGAATAAATTCTGTGCGAGTCTTTGTGTTGACTGAATGATTAACATAGCTGTAAATTCTCACTGGTGTTCAGGACTGCCACTGTCTTATCTCGAAACTCAGGCGCTCCATCCTGTTCCGTTATTGCTGTGATTCGCTCTGTGGGTATTGCTGATAATTTCACAGTCCAGAGTCCTGATAAATCAGCTCTGACAGAAGTACAAATTGAAGCTGCACGCAGGCAACCCTCACTGAATAATTAGTCAATAGTGCATAACACATTCCAGAGTAAGACTCGAGGCCACTTTTTCAGCTGTGATCTATTCACACCTCGCAGAGAAGTCCAGTGGCTACAGCCACTGTACTAGAGGAGTGAAAGGTTGGAAAGCATTGATTTTTGTTAACGGAGATATGTTGGTCCCTTTATATGGAAAATGATGAATAGAGAGATGGGGGGTGGGGGGAGTTAAAGGTGGGATGAAGGTGAGGAAAGCCATAAAACACTAATGGGATTCTGCAGTTTACCTTAAGAGATATTTAATACAACAGCAAAGAAGTGATGTTAAATACATGAAATAAATTTGCAATACTGCATGAAATTCACTATTGAAAGCCAATAACTAAAAGATATCAGAGCCATAGAGAGGACACAGCATAGGTTCACATAGATGGTCCAGGGGATGAGGATAGGTTTGAAAAGTAGTTATTTTTATAAAGAAAGTAGAGGGTCTTCAAAATTCTGAAGCATTTGATTAATACTAATTATAATAATGAATCCTTACATCTGATGTAGCACCTTTCATGTCAGGAGGACATCTCAAAGTGCTTCACAGGATATACTGTAGAGTCTATAATGTGTTTTAAATAATGAAGATTATTCCTGCTGGTTGGTAAATCAGGAACAAGAGAATACAAATATTAAATATTAATAATCAAAGGGAAGGTAGAAGGAATCTCTTCACGCAGAGGATTACTAGAACACGGAGAGCTTTATCACAAGATGAGAACATTTAAAAGAAATTTGCAAGATGAGACAGAAGGAACAATCTAAAGCCTGTGGGAAAAGAGCAGAGAATTGGAAACAGAGTGGATGAGCTAGCACCAGCCCAGGTTTCACTCAGTGCGCCCATCTATCCTGGTTTGTCCCATCTCCCTTCAACTATCTGAGTAACAGCTGTTGTGGGGAGCATAAAACCCTCGACTTACTATGTTTAGCATCCCAATTTAATTCACTGCCAAAATGCCAGTCCTGAAATAAAGCTCCTTTAGTTCTGTGGATTAATCAAAGAAAAGTCACAGACTAATATTCAAATAAGGTGCAAATTGTACTCCATTAATGCACACTACTGCAGCTAATAATGTTTTCAAAATCACCCAACAGCCTACACAATATATTTTTCATCAGTATGCTACAAATGTCATCTCCACTCGGCAAAGCTTTTTCTCTCTGTGCACATGTAATGCTGTTACCGTCTTAAGGGTTTTATTTGTTGCAAATGCTTCCCCCTGCCCCTCTGCCTGCACACCTCATTGCTTCTGCTGTCCTGGCATGTACCGCAAGATGTCTGTGTTATTCAGCTCTCATCCACTGAGCAAATCAGCTTTTGTCAAACCAAAAGTTACCTGAAATTTGCAAGAAAGCTGAAAGGATGGATCTCATTTCATGCCAGTGGCTTTGGCACTGCTTGATTATATACACCAAAAGCATGCTTTCTTCGTCTTTCGTGGTTTAATCTTCATGTCCTGTTTCTGTCCACTTGGATTATCTGAATTGTGTCTGGCCACATGTGTCGGGTGTGGATTTTCCTCTTCGTATTCCAGAGTCCGTAGTACTTGATTATATCTGCCTTCCTGCTGCCTAAAGTCATATTCTACACTGGGAAAAAACAGAAGAAACATCAAGTGAAACTGCTTGCTGGTGATCTGTAGAGTTAAAGGATTACATGTCATGTGTTACATTACATCAGGCTTGATCTTTCAAAAAGTTCACTCGTTTCGTATCTCAAAAAGCTTGTCACTTGTCAATGTGGGGTTTTGACTTGACCCCACAGGGAAAAGTAATCAAATAATACGTGTATTTGCTGTACCACCAAGAATGTCAACCGTCTCAAAGTGCGTCACCGATAAATGTTGTACTCGTGTAGCTGTAAACAAATAAGTTGTACAGATACGTATGAAGGGAACAATCAATTTAGTTGAAGGATTGTTGGTCAGGAGATTGGGACAAAAGCCCTTCTCTTTCCCAATAGTGTTGTGGGATTTTTAACAACCATCTAAATAGGCAGTTACAAGATGGGAATGTCTGGATATGGATAAGGAATGGGAACTCTGGCTGATTTTTGCATTCCTAACACACAATGCACTGAGATTAATTGTAGCCACAAGTGAATCACCACTGACACAGAATGGGACTTAAATTTTAATCCTCCAGCCTTAATGTCTCATTGGTGCCTTTACTCGGTAAACTATCGATGGGAGCTCAGCTCATTTTGAAATGGAGCTAAACTGTAACATTATGAACATTTCATGGGAGTCTATATCTACTGCTCAAAAAAGTTCTTCGTTCTCTCAAAGCTTGCTCGAAGCTTGCTCATTGTAGATGCTGAACAAATCCTATGGAGTGAGGAGAATTAAGTTGAACAGTGACTGCTGGAGTTAAGCTTATAGATCTGTCACAGCGCACATCAGCCTCATCATGTGGTCCTAAACTGCAACAGACCAGGTGCTTGAAATGAGAATTGCCTAGTTGATAACATGTCGATTCAATACTTTCTGCAAATGGTTTACTCAGTCGTTTTGTTTCTTTCCTTTTGCTACCATTGCAATAATGCTGGGTTATACTGTAGTTCATGGTTAAGGTTTGACTTACTGAGTTAAAATAATTCCCCGTCATTGTAAAGAATGGAATCTAATGCTTGATATTTGTGAGAGAAAGAAAGAAACAAAGAACTTGAAGTGGGAAGCGTTTGTTTGATATTGCGTCTATAATGTTGAAACATCTCAAAGCACTTCACTGTACTGTTATAGGCTATCTAATGCTGTGACTATATAATTGTAGGCAAACACGACCAATGTATACNAAAAAACAGTATGGGAGATTACATTCTAACTCTTTTTCCTTCAATTTGGCACTTTCAGAAATTTTAGTTAGCTGTTTTTAACCTATCCTTACATTATGGTCTATTTCTCACTGTCTCATACAAAATGGATATCTTTATGGATCTGTCAGTAAACACGAGCCACCTCCCTTCCCTCCCCTCCTCGCTCCCTCCCTTCCCTCCCCTCACCCTGACCATTTCCCCCCTGCTTGGGTCCCGACCCAACTGTCCAGCGCCTTGGGACATCCTCCCGACGTGAAAGGCGCTCTATAAATGCAATCTTGTTGTTGTTGTTTGACATATAAATGCATTCAGACTTATGTATCTATCCACATCAATGTCACTTGCTAGCCCTGGGCTCCTGTGCTAAGCTGTTCCAAATCCATTTGTGCGTTGACAACCTCAGGTGAACATGATTTAAAAATAATAATCCACAGTTTTGATATGGTGTTTATAACGTCAAAACATTTCAGAGCCCATCACACAGAATTTCTGTAAAGTGTAAGTGATTGCGCATTTGTAGGCAAACCTGACAGCCAACTTGTGCCCATCAATGTCCCACAAACAGTCAATGATGTGAATGAACAATTTCATCTGGAGGATTGTTGGCCCAGGCCACCAGAAGAAACTCGTTTGAAGTATTTCTTTGGGATCTTCAATGTCTACCTGAACAGGAAAATGGGATGTAGCAAACCAGTTACTCTTCTATTTTATAAAAGTTCACCTCATCAAAAATAACTGGCAACGCACTTTATCAAATGTCTTTTGAAAGTCTAATCGTAGGACATTCACAGGTAGTTAACATTTATTAATCCAGTCACCTTCTCAAAGAAGTGCTGTAATTTGGAAATCGCGGCATCTGAAACCATTCTGACCATCTCATAATGACTTTCCTTCTTGATAGCTAATTTTATTATGACTTATACGATGGTCTCAAATCATTTTCCTTCTCCAAGTGACCTGAAGCCCACTGCTTTATAGTTCCTAAAGTTCGAATCATAAAACTTTACAGCACAGGAGAAGGTCATTTCTGTTGAATGTGTCTTTGACTGCTCTTTGAAAGAGCAATCCATACAGTGCAATTTACCCGTCTTTTCCTCATACCATTTAAAATGAGACCTTTTTAGATATCTGTCTAGTTCCTTCCTGAACGTTAATATGGATCCTGCCTCGATAACCTCTCTCTGCAGAGGATTCCACATCCTAACACTTCTCTGTGTTCAACATTTGTTCCTTTCCTGCCCTTATGTTAAATTGAAGCCATCTATTCAGACTCTCCGACCAGTAAAAATGGTTTCTCTACATTTACTGTATCAAAGCCCTTATATAATTTTAAAGACCTCTATTGGATCCTCCCCCTCAACCTTTTTTATTCTATTGAAAAGAACCCTGCTTTCACTGTGCTATATCTCCTTTGCACTCTCTCTATGGTCCTCTTACTCTTCCTAAAGTGGGATGACCACAACTGGACAAAATACTGTGGTGTAACTAACAATTCATACAAGTTAAGCATCACCTCATTGATTTTATATTGAATGTCCCTACTTCTAAAACCAATAGTTCTTCACAGCCTCCTACTTTAAAGATTAATGTACCTTAACTCCTAGTTCTCTCTGTTCTTTATACTACTAATCAGATAAGAACATTTCCCAGTCCTTAAATATCTACACATAATTTTCATTAACATCTGGAATTTTGTCTGTGTTCCCCTTAATGTAAGCAATGATTTTGTGCTGGTATTTGTTACAGTCAACTTGGATTCCTCAGCTATGATGTCCACCTCATGTATCTGTCTTGTGACACCCTATCACATGGCTCTACAATTCCTGTTTCTCATGGATTATAATTCCCATAGAGAACACACGTGGCTTTGACTTGCCAACCTGGGTTTGACTTTGATGGTTAATAATCTCATTTTGATTGAATCATGGCTCAATAAAATGTTTTCAAGCCACATCAGACAGGTCAATTATGCTGGCACAGAAAATATTTCCCTGCATTATATCTGAACATTATACTTGGGACTATTCCACCATTTGCATGATAACTTTGAGAATCTCAGTGAGCAATGCAATGCTATTTACTGCAAGTTTGTCTCTGAGCATTCCTTTATCAATTACTTTCCCTTTCAACTTTTGATGAACTTAAGTGTCAGCTTAGCTCAGTTAGTAGCACTCTCGCCTGTGATTAAGGAAGTTGTGAGTTCAAGATGGTAAAGAGTTCACATAAGAATTTACATAAAGTGTACATTTTAAACTGAGGAGGGGAGGTCTATATAGGAACTCGCTGCTACTATTTGCACAAAGGTTAATATACTTGTGGAAGCAATTACAGAAGCAGACAGTGTAAATTAAGAGGCAAGCAGATCAGTTTCTGAAGAGAAAGGAATTCCTCTTGGAATAGATGGAAACGAGATTGTAAAACAGACAGACTTTGACTTAATAATCGTTTCTAGTTCCTGTGTTCTTACACATTCCTAGTCATGTGTTAACCTTCAAGTCATAGATTATTCCATATATTGCTATTATCTGACCATTTGCTACTCCATATAGTATCATCTGTAAACGGTTAGACAAACTGAAATAACATAATGGAATACTCTATGCTCAATGCTAGTTAATATTCTGCTCATCATTCTGGAAATTTGTTAGCTAATTAAGTCATGCAAAGTAAATCCCTCTTGACAATACACTGTAAGTCATCAGAGGCAATGTATTAAGGTGAGAGTCACCGTTTGGACAGTGGTACTGCTTTGAATAAAGGCAATTATAAAAGGAGGCACCTTGATTATGGTTAGCACCAGGGTGTGAAAAGCTGAAGGTTAGATGCATTCTGCAAAGTTGCACATTAAGCACTTTAACAACAACAACAACTTGGATTTATATAGCGCCCTCCACGCCGGATTTCAGAGCGCTTCACAATAACGGATCCCGGGGCTGAGCCTGGAGGAGGGGGAAGAAGGTGACCAAAGGCGCAGTCGAAAAGAAAGGACTTTAGCCGAGACCTGAAAATAGGAAGAGAGGGGACGAGACAAAGAGAGTGAGGAAGAATAACAGAAAGAAAGATTTATATACATTTTAAATGAAACCATAAGAGAGGATTTCACAGCATGCTTTGTGTTTAGGATAAGCACATTTTATTGTTGTTAGCTAAACATTGTCTAAAGTCTGTCCTCATTTCTGTAACTCTGCTGTTCTCCATAGCTCTCTTCTCTCTCCCACTCCAGTCTGTCTCTACATCAGTGAACTCTTTCTTAGATCTTCATGACTGTGAAATCCTTATCGTTCTCTCTTCCTCCTATAATCTGCAGATTTGGGAATCCAAATTTGAATCCACATCTTTTCCCCACTTATCCTGGTTTATATTTCCCTCCGAAACCAAATTTACCACCAAATTCAATTTAATTTCCTATTCTTCTCATGGTTGTTTACAATAATAGCAACAACAACCTGAATTTATAATAACACCCTTCACGCAGGGTAGGGTCTCAGAATTTACTTCCTCAAACATTAATTTTAATTTCTAATTATATTTTGTAAATTGACTCAAGACATTTACTCCTATGTGAAATGCTGTATAAATGCAAATTAATATATTATTATGGATCATTGTGGAACTTTGGCTTTGCGATTTAAACAGGATTGCATTACATTGTGAGCCTCAATACCCTTGCACAGCGATTAAGGCTTATCTGTTGAGAAACATGCAACCAAACTGCAGGATATGAACCTTTGCAGATGTGTATTGTGCAAATGAACGCTTTGGCATCTTGTATACT